GTTTCCTTAGAATTATCCCTTGAAATTCCTTTTCAGTCATTTCAAGGGCTTCTTGTTCTACAGGATTTAGAGCTTGAAAGTTATTATCCTTTGGGTGGTGTACTTTTGATTTTTTGTATTTCTGGTATCTTTTTTTTGATGTTTATTCATTGTGGCAGGGGGTTTCACAGTCCACAGGTTTGACACTATTGACTGACTAAGATGTTGCTGTGGTTGCCAATTTGGTATGGCTACCTCAGTGACTACTCAGTTGGCCACTAGTGCCTTGTGTGTGTGGTTGCCTTGGGTCTTGGGCCTCTCCAGGGAGCCACCTCTCTGGTCAGCTTGGACTCTGCCGGGCTGCTGGATCACGGGGCGGTACTGCAGGATGTGTGGTCTCTGCTGAGCTTCCACCTCCCGTGCTAGACTTCTCCCTGTTCCGTGCACTCTGGCCCAGGCTGCTGGGATGCACTGAGGCACCGCAGAGCTTGTGGTCTCTGCAGAGCTTCCCCTTCCCCTGCAGGATGTCTCCCTGCTCTGTGTGCACTAGGCCGGGCTTCGGATGGAGCCGGGTGGTGGTGGTGAAGCCTACCTGCTGCTGGATCACGTGGCGGCAGCTGGCCCACAGGGTGTGTGGACTCTACAGAGCTTCTATCTCCCTTGCTGGACCACTCTGTGCTCCGTACGCATTGGGCCGGGCTGCTGGGTCACGCGGCAGCAGTGTGATCCCAGTGGAGTTCCCACCTCCCCTGCCGAATCCCTTCTCCGAGTGCACTAGGCTGGGCTGGGGATGGAGCCGGGTGCCTGTGGTGAAGCCTACCTGCTGGATCACGCAGTGGCGGCCCCACAGGGTGTGTGGTTTCTGCGGAGCCTCCGCCTCCCTTGCTGGACGTCTCCCCACTCTGTGCACACTGGGCTGGGCTGGGAATGGAGCCGGGTGGCAGCGGTGAAGCCTATCTGCTGTATCGTGGGACGGCGGCCCCACAGGGCATGTGGTCTCTGCGGAGCTTCTGCCTCCCCTGCTGGACGTCTCCCCGTTCCATATGCACTTGATGTTATGTTTTTATAGTTTAAATCGGTTGATTTGTGGGAGAGAGTGACGCTAGGGACTGTCTATTCCGCCAACTTGCCAGAAGTCTGGATTCCCCTTCAAAAAGGAGTCATAATACCTATCCATCAGTTTCTGAAGCTGGGAAGTCCAAAGTCCATCTCGTGGTGGCAACAGTGACCCAAGGGTCTCGCATTGCAAGATGATGGAAGCAGAAAGAGCAGAGAGCGAGGCAGAGTATTCTTGGGTCTTAGTTTGTAAAACTTTTTCTTCCCCCCAGATTTTTGTAGATTTCATTATAGTGTGTTTGCCGGAGATGCAAGCAAGAAACTCATGTGACTCATAAAACTTCACACTAATTTCCATTCTTACATTTTCAGACATAATACTTGCAGAACTCTATAAAAACCATTTGGAGACATAATGAATAATATTCAGTTTTCTCTAGAATGATAAACCTGAGTAATCTTTCTCATATATTAAATGTATGTTAAACTTTACATTTTCTCTTCTAGGTATTCTCATGGGAGCATTTATAAAAATTATAGAGTTTAAAAAACTGGCAAATTGGAAGGTAGGTTTGCCCAACTGTTCATTTTTAACATAATCACAGTTTTTGGTTGTTCTTAATTTCAGTTAACACTGATGGTTATGCTGGCTTTTTTTTAATCATTACTTGACTATCAGTGAACTTTATTGTCCCCTTAATTTTTCAACATTTTATTAGGCTCAGGTTGATATCTTTCCATCTGAGTTTTTGGAAGAAACATAAATCTCACACTGTTTCAAGTGAACATGGAGTAATTAATGTCATGTTTTGTTGTTATTTGCATTTTTATAATCCTAGACTAACCTACTTTATAGGCGGGAAAAAACTAATTAGCTTTAAACATTAAACACTGTCAGAATTCTGACAGCTGAGGATAATAAAACTTATTTGTCCAGTACTGTAGAGCTTACAGAGTACTTCATATACATTAGCGCATGTTATCCTCATAAGCACATGCGGTAGTTTGACCAGGTATTATTATCACCCCAGTTTTACAGGTGAAGAAAGTGACCAATGTCACCGAGCTAGAAAGAAAGTGGCTGAATTGAGTCTTGCATCCATACTTCTTTGCCTGTATAGTCACTGTTTTTTCCACATACCACCCTGTCCTCAGTTTGCTGATGTACATACCTTTGTGTTTACACAATGGTTGTTGGGGTATGAGCATCATCTTGGGTTACGAGGACTAATTGAAACTTGAATTTCATCTTAAACTTGAGCATCCATATTAAGTACAGAGAGATTAACGAATGTGTTACAAAATTGATTTTGTGGAGGAAAGTAAGGTCCGTTTCAAAATAATTAAGAATTACATGGCTGAAATTTATCACATTCGATCCTCTCTGTATTAGTCCGTTTTTGTTGCTTATAACAAAATACATGGAATGGGGTGATTTATAAAGAAAATGAAATTTATTACTTACAGTCCATCTGGTGGTGGCGACAGGGATCCAGGGGTCTCACATTGCAAGATGGCAGAAGCAGAGAGCAGAGAGAAATACTCTCCCCTGACCATCATTTTTTTTTTTTTCCTTTTTGTCTTTTGTCGTGTCTGGCAATGGATCGCAACCCTCAGTGTCGCGCCCGTACCGGACCGGGACCGGCAACGGGATCGCAACCCTTGGTGTTGCTCCCGCACCTCGCTCAGCCAGTGAGCGGGAACCGGTCTGTATGTGGGATCCGAACCCTCGGCGGGAGCGCTGCCACACTCCCAAGCGGCGCACTGTAGCAGTGCGCCACCGGGCCGGCCCCCTGACCATCATTTTTAATCCATTCACTAGGTACTGTCCTACAATGGAATCCTCTCTTCATGGTTCCACCTTTCAGTTACCATAATAGGATTTTCCACCCTGTTAACAGTCACAGTGGGGGCTAAGTTTCTCATACATAAAACTTGGGGGACACAATTCAAGCGTCAATGAGTTTTGGGGGGACATAATTCAATCCACTACATTCCGCCCCTGGGCCCCCAAAACTCATGTCTTTTTCACATGCAAATACATCATTTTACCCCCAAAGTCTTAACTCGTTTCAGCTCAAAAGTCTGAAGTTCAAAGTCCCATCTGCGAAATCAGTACAAGTTATGTACTTCCCAGATACAACAGTGGGACAAACATAGGGTACATACTCCCATTCTAAAAGGGAGAAATAGGCCACAAGAAAGGAGAAACAGGTCCCAAACAAGTCTGAAACCCAGCAGGGCAGACATTAAATCTTACAGCTGGTGAATCATGTAACTTGACTCTGTGTTCAATGTCCTCTGAACGCTGGTGCAAGGGTTGGGTCCACAAGTCTTCAGGCAGCTCCGCTCCTATGGCTTTCCTGATCACAGGCCATACTTCAGCTCTCCCAGGCTGTCCTTCCACACTGGTAGCTCCACAGGTCTGGGGTCTCCGTGGCAGTTGCACTCTCACGGCTCCACTAGGCATGGTGCTGATGGGATTTCTCTGCTGCAACTCCGACCTCATGTTTCCGCTTGGCATTGCTCTAGCGAAGGCTCTATGCAGTGAATCTGCCCCTGCAACAGATCTCTTCCTGGGCCCCCAGACTTTTCCATACATCCTTTGAAATCGTGGTGGAGGTTCCCAAGCCTTCCCAGCTCTGGCATTTTGCAAGCCTGCAGATCTAACACCACGTGGATGCTGCCAAGGCTTCCAGTTTGTATTTTCCAAAGCTGCATGTCCAGCCACACCTGGGGCCAATTTACCCACAGCTGGAGCAGCTAAAGCAGCTGGGGTGCTGGTGCTGGAAGCAGCTTCCCGAGGTGGCCCTGAGCAGTGAGCCTGTGGAGGGCTTCTCAAGCCTGTTCCCCAAGACCATTTTGTCTCCCTAGGTCTTTGGGCCTGAAATGTAAGGGTTGGCCCCAGAGGCTTCTGCAATACCTTCAGGGCCTTTTTATCCTTTTCTTGATATTTCCTTTCTTTTGCACTAATCTTCTTAACTAAGGGTCGCTGGGCTGCACCATTGCATGCTCTCTGCTTCTCTACCAAATGGCCAGGCTGCAAACTTTCCAAATCTTTATGCTCTGCTTCTCTTTTAAATTCTGGCTTTATGTCATGCCTTTGTTGCCATAACTCAGAGTAGGCTGTGACAAGTAGCCATGCAGTTTCCTTAATGCTTTGCTGCTTAGAAATTTCTTTGGCCAAATGCTCTGGTTTGCAACTCCTAAGTTCCAACTTCCACAAAGTCTTAGGGCATGGACACAATGCTGCCAAGTTACTTTCCAGTTCACAGCAAGGGTGATCTTTGCCCGTTTCTGAAAAACTCCTTATTTCTATCTGAGACCTCCTTAGAAGGGTCTTTCCAGTCCATATTTCTATCAGCATTCTGCTTGCCACCATGTAACCAGTCTTTAAGACAGTCCAAACTTTCCCTTGTCTTTTTGTCTTCCTCTGAGTCCCCCAAACTCCTCCAACCTCTCCTCATCACTCAGTTCCAAAGCCGTTTCCACATTTTCAAGTACTTGTTGTAAGCAACACCCCTCTTCTCTGGTACCTGTTTTCTGTGTTAGTGCATTTCTGTGGCTTATAACAAAATACATGGAACTGGGTGTTTTATAAAGAAAATGAAACATTGCTCACAGTTCCTTTTTTAATTATTTTAATATCAATTGATAAGGAACAAACTTAAGACAAAGATTAACATCCTTAATAAAAAAGTAACTCTTAAAAATGAATTAGAAAAATGTAAGCAGAAACTTTGTGAAGGACATGACCAGATAAGTTACACACCCCATAGAAAAACTCAAGTCTAATTAGTACATTCTAAGATGTTATTGCTGTGGGGGAAAAGAATAATGGGGAGAGGGCTAAGGCCCTCATCTCTCATCTCAGGGCCCTGGGGGCTTTTGGTTTGGGGGCTTTTGTTTCTGGGGGTTGCGATCCCGTTGCCGGTCCCCGGTACGGGCGTGACATCGAGGGTTGTGATCCCGTTACTGGTCAGTAAAAAAGATAAAAAAAGGAAAAAAAAAAAAAAAGAAAGAAATCAATTGATCAAAATTTGAATTGATTTTAAAAGAATTAAAAGTTTTTAGTTTTATTTTATTTTAGTTTGATTTAAAAATATTACTAATCTATATAAAAGTCTGGAAATTCCACATAAAAATCTGAACCTCTAGCTTCTCTTGAAAAAGCAGCAATCAGAGATACCCAGCAGTGGCTACTCTCACGGTCATACAGTGTGGCCCCCCAAAATATTTGCATTTGTGACCCCCTCTCTAAGTAGTGGGAGTAGGGGGATGGGAGGTTATCTCTCACTTTAAATTTTATGTGCACCAATGTTATTAAATTTATTTTCCAATGAACATTACTTTTCAAGATAAAGTAATAGTAATGTATTTAATAGTATAGACAACTGAACCAGAGTTGGGTGATGGATGTGATTAAGTGCCTAAAAAGTTATCCAGACAACCAGTGCTTGATCTCAGAAAAAGGTGAGGTTTGTAGGCTGGGATAAATGGGCATGCCTCCTGGAGGAGCAGGTGTTTGTAGAAAGTCAAAGTGAGAAGCAGGGCACCTGTCTGGAAACTGCAGGAGCAGTGGGACATAAGAAAAACAATGAAGGAACGTGGTATAGTGTTTTCTTTACATGAAGTTCTGTTTTCAAATTGTCCTGCTGGGACTGCCTTCTACCTGTCATATGCTTAATACTGTTTTTCTATCAACTAACTTTTTAATTGGTATACGTTTTTAGCAGTTTTTAAAAAAATATTTTATTGTGGTAAAACATGCATAACACAAAATTTACCATTTTAGCCATTTTTAAGGGTACAATTCAGTGGGATAAAATACATGCACAGTATTGTATACTCATCTCCACTATCTATTTCTAGAACTTTTTCATCAGCCCAAATAGAAACTCTGTTCTCATTAAATGACAACTCCCCATTCCTCCCTCCCTGTAGTCCCTGGCAACTACCATTCTACTTTCTGTCTCTATGAATTGGACTACTACAGGTCCCTCATACAAGTGGAATCATACAGTATTTGTCCTTTTGTGTCTGGCTTATTTTAATTAGCATAATATTTTTGAAGTTTATTCATGTTATAGCACGTATCAGAATTATATTTCTTTTTGTGGCGTAATAATACTCCACTGTATATAAATACCACATTTTGTTTAACCATTCATTCAGCTGTTGATAGAACCTCGGGTTGTTTCCACCTTTGGACTATTTTGAATAATGCTGCTCTGAACATTGGAATACTATATACATTTATTTTAAAAGAATCGTTAAAATTCTGTTTAAGTCAGAAACCTATAAATAAATGTGATAAAAACCAAAGTACTACAGATGTCTGCTGAAGCCTCTGAGGCCAGGTCTGCTCTCTTTGTCAAGGGAGATTAGCACACTGGAGAGAGGCTTTGAACATGGTAGTGCCAAACTAAGGTGTCTTTGACTTATTTGGGATCGAAAAAGGATCAAAAGGGCCTGACTTTCTCAATCTGTGAGGGCAGTGGTATTTGATATACACTACTCAAGTACCACCTAAAATCACCTCTGCCCGTTTGAGGGGAGACATTGCCAAAAGGAACCTGGGACATTTCTGTGACACAGTTTCCCTATGAGTTGGTATATTTGGTTCCTAAGATTGCTGTCACAAATTACCACAAACTGGGTGGCTTAAAATAACAGAGACTTATTCCCTCATGGTTCTGGAGGCCAGAAGTCAGAAATCAAGGTGTCAGCAGAGCCAAGTTCCCTACAAAGTCTCTAGAAGAAAATCCTTTATTGCCTCTTTCAGCTTCTGATGGCCCCAGGAATTTCTTGGCTTGTGGCAGCAAAACTCCTATCTCTGCCTCTATCTCCATATGGTCTTCTTCATGTCTCTGAGTCCTTTTGTGTGTCTTACAAGTATACTTTTATTGGTGCTAGGGCCCACCCTAAACCAGTGTGAACTCATCTCCATCCTTATTTATATCTGCAAAGACCCTATTTCCAAATAAGGTCACATTCTTTTTTTTTTTTTAAAGATGCCTGGTAAGGGGATCTCAACCCTTGGCTTGGTGTTGTCAGCACCACACTCACCCAGTGAGCTAACAGGCCATCCCTATATGGGATCCTAACCCATGGCCTTGGTGTTCTCAGTACCACACTCTCCCAAGTGAGCCATGGGCTGGCCCAAATACGGTCACTTTCTGAGGTTCCTGGTGGACATGAATTGGGGGTGGAGGTGGAGGGACAAATATGTAACCCCACTACAGTTGGGTTCTTATTTTTCCCAGGAGGAGTTTAGGTTTTAAAACTCCAAAAGGATCTGATCTATACAGTGATTCCACTGCACAAATCCTGAGAATAGGTGGCCCCACAAAACACAGTGCTCAGCCTATTTCTTTTTATGTAGTCCCCATCTGAGTCATGAGCTTGTTGTACATGCTGTTATTTTAGGACTTAATAAGGCATTTTCAGAAGTTATCATTTACTTCTATTTTGAGCCTTTTTTTGAATGTTATTTTAATTTTTATGGTAACAGCTGTACATTTATAAGAATATACTTTGGCATTCTGTTGAATAGAGATTTTGACAAGAAATCAGACTGTCAAGATTGTGACATGGAAATATTCATATGAAAAATGGCCTGATTTTGCAGTATTAAATAGGCATGTAGCCATTTTGGGCTTGAGGATCAATTTGTATTTTCCCCAAATCCCACCAACAATTAAGAAATATATTAATATAGAAAATGGAATTCTCTCAAAAAAAGAAAAAAGAAGAGAAAAATGAAATTCTCATTATTTCATCCCGTCAAAGACAGCCATATTCTAGAAACACCTTTCATTATGGCATTTAATATTCAAATCTGAAAGCACAGCAAAGGGCTCACTTTGTCTGTTTCATCACAGTCACACTTAGGAAAATGGCAGAGTTGTAATTTTCTTTCCTTACTAAAATAAAAAGCATACTACGTGTGTTTGGAAGCAGTTAATTGTGCTATTTCTTTTTCTGGTCATGTTTTAAAATTGCTTATCCTACCTTTTAAAATGCAGTGTAATTTCTTTTTTTGGTCTCTCCTTGATTTTTTTTTTTAATTGAAGCATAATTGATTATACATATTAAGGGGATATACTGTTGACTCGTTATTTGTGTACAATTTGTGCTTTGTGCCCCTTACCTAATTTCTCCCTAACCCCCCTCCTTCTTCTTGATTTTAATATTAGGTAGTATTAGGTAGTTATTTAAACATTATACATTTCCACTGGGCCAGGCCCTAAGAGAATTATTATTTCAGCTCTTAATTGATGAATTTATTTCTTAATTACACAAAAAACATGCCTCGGAAAATACCCATTTTATATTTACAGGAAGAAGAAATGTTTCGTCCAAATATGTTTTTCCTCCTCTTGCTTCCACCTATTATCTTTGAGTCTGGATATTCATTACACAAGGTAAGACTCAGGCATACATTAGTGCCTTTCATCTGGATGGTTTCTTGTGCTTCTGAGGCAAGTTCCTTAAAAGCTTGGGTGTTAATTTAGCAGTGATGGCTTTGTTCCTTCCTGAGGTACACAGTGCAAGCAGGACTGTGGTCCCTGACTTTTGGGGAGAGGCAAATGTGATCCAGTGGCTGCTTTAACAGTTTTAGGCAGTTAAACACTATTGAGCCAGTGTTTTCCTTAGAGAGGTACTTTGCCCAGGGAGAAGGCCAAAGTGATTTTTTTTTTCTTACTTTCTTTTTTTTTTGCGGCTGGCCGGTACAGGGATAGAACCCTGAACCTTGCTGTTATCAGTACCATGCTCTAACTGGCTGAGCTAACTGACCAGTCCAAAGTGATTTTAAGTGGCACATGGACAATACGTTGACTCCTCTTGTTGGACGCAGACTAACACATGCTAAGAGGACAGACTGTGTCCTGGGACGATGGGGACATGTGCCCAGGACTTTTGCTTCTCTCAGCTCACCCTGTGGGGACTTTCTCCCTCCTTAGGCTCATCTAGACTTACTTGTATCCCTCCCTATACCCTGCCCTGGCCTCAATCCCCAGCTGATATTGCCCTTTATCCCCCAGCATCCATCTCTTCCCACCCTCTCCCTGGCCCAGCTTCTCCTTCCCAGGCTGGCATTGCTGGTCCCTGCCTTCCAGCTCCTGGTGCGACTCTTTCTGCCTAGTGGGGAGCTTCTCACTTTTAAACCTGGTTGTGTGTGCGCGTATGTTTTTTCCTTGTTTGTGAGTTTTCTTTAAATGTATTTAAGTTTTAAAATAAGGCGATTCAACTTAAATTAAAATGTTAGTAATACAGTATTATTTTGTAATAATGTAAAATAATACATTTTAAATATATTTTATAGTAATACAAAAGTTATTTTGGGAATATGATTAAAAAATTGTGGAGGTTAAGCCAAGCTTTGGAGAAAGGAAGGAGCTTGGACTTTGGAGCCGGAGAGACATAGATCTAATCATGCGCTGCCCCCTACAGGTTCCTTTTTGGTAGAGTAGACATTAAAAACAAAACCCCAAAAAACCATAAACACTCTACCCCTCAGCTTGCTTTGAGATCTACACCAGATGAAAGAATGTAGGCAAAGCACCATCCACCACACTAAATAAATGGAATGCCGCTTCTTCTTGTTACTAATAATATTAATATTAAACTTGGTTTAAATTTGTCAAGAGAGTTTGATAAAAATATACAAATTAAATCTTTAATTTTCCACTTGGGTACTAAAACAGAAATATTCTAAGATGTTCAGTCCAGATTTTTCTTTAAAAGTTGTTATTTTATTGTGCATCTCTCCAAAGAAAAAGTGAAAAGGAAGTTTGATGTAAAAAAAGTTCCCAAGTCTTACAGACTATGCTGCCATCAGATAATTGTTAACAAACAAAAAGAAATTGAAGATCAATATTTCTTTACTCTTCCATTTTGTAAACAAATCTTAAAGAATTATAAGCAGATTATGAAAATATTTCAATACAATGCTGAGGAAATTGGTTTGATTTTACTTAAAAACATGACATTTTGAATATTAGAGCATGTAATGTTTTTATTTTCTAAATTTTGGAGAGAGGAAAGATAAACTTGTTCAAACTTTGAGGAAAATAATAGTTTCTTAGAAAAACATTGAAGATGACTTAAAAGCAGAAAACTTGACAGTTTATGTGAAAGGGACTGACGTAAGTTGGTAATGCCACTTCAGAGACTTTTGTCCACTTCTTGCCCTTCCCCAAAGAAGATAGGAAGTTGTCTTCATGTTTTTTTTTTAAAGATGACCGGTAAGGTGATCTTACCCTTGCCTTGGTGTTGTCAGCACTATGCTGTCCCAAGTGAGCTAACCGGCCATTCCTATATGGGATCCAAACCCGTGGCCTTGGTGTTATCAGCATCACACTCTCCCAAGTGAGCCACAGGCAGGCCCTCTTAATGTTTTGTTTTAATATTGCTGTATTTGCTTATGTAAATTTAGACTTGGAATGCATCTCAGTAAGATTGTCATCAATTGATATGCATTAAGTGGGCAGCTGCTGTCTCTTTAAATTGTAAATGTCATATAAAGAATAGGATGTTAATTTTGTCAGAGAGAACAGATTAATTTGCTTTATGTAGCAGAGTTCTTTTAGCATGGTAACTTGTATTTGGGTAAATTTTCAGTATCCAGATTAATATTAAGCAGCTTCATAAAGTATAACAGAATTAGATCCCTGTAAACAGACTGATTAGTCTAATCTGTTTTTATTTGATTAATTAATTAATTATTATTTGTGTGTGTGTGTGTGTGTGTGTGTGTGTGTGTGTGTGTGGCTGGACAGTAAGAAGATCTGAACCCTTGACAGTTGGTGTTATCAGCACCCTGCTTTGCTGATTGAGCTACACTCTAACAGTTGAGCTACTGTCCAGGCCCTAATCTGTTTTTATATAACAAAATAAAGCAGCTATTTGCAAAGAAAAACTCATGGATGAAAGCTCTTTATTTAGAAAAAACAAATCATTGTGTTTTACCTTATTTTAAAATTCTTTGTGTGCTAAAGATTGATGTGCCAAACAAAGGAATAGAATGTCAGATCATGGGCAGCCAAATCAAATTTGCAAAGGGACTTCCTGAAGGAGATAGGTTTAGTGGGGCTGTCAGTTGAGCTGAGCTGAGCTGTAAAGCTCTTTTGAAATGAGCTTTAAAACTGTAGCTTCATGGTATTGTAACCCCAGCGTCAAGGGTTCAGATCCTCTTATCCACCAGCTGCCAAAAAAATAAAACAGCAACTCTCCAGATGTCCAATTTCTGAGCAAAAGATGGGATTCCTTGTCCACACCCACAGTGAAGGATCATCAAGGCTCCTTGGTGGTGGTTCCTAAGTAGAGTCCATAGAGTTCTAATAAACAACTTAATTTCCTTAATTTTATGGAAATTTGAAAGATGTCACCATGCTTATTGGACTTGAATATTTTCTCTTAAACGCTGTGAAATATAGATGGAAATGTAATTTATCTCTCATATTTGATGATGATACTGATAGAGTGAAGTAAAGTTGTTTAAAAGACCTGGACAGCAAAAAGGGGTTTCTGATAGTATAACCTATTACTTTGATATTCTTTGCAATAAGATTCTTTGTATCTTAACTAAGTAAAAAATTATAATTGTATAGATTTTGGACTTTGATCAACACGAAACCAGTTAATTCCTTCAGTTCCTGTTTATTGGGCATCTTCTACCTGATAGGCATTATGCCAGTGACTGTGCTATACAAAGCAGATGTGGTCATTGACCCCATTGAGCCTGCTGCCTCCTGGAAAAGATGGATCCAATCAAATAGTTACATAAATAAAAGTAAAGTTGCAGCCATGTCAAGTGCTACCAGGAGAGGGTCATTGTGCATTGAAAGCATAGAATAGGATCTGAGCTGGTTAAGGGACCAATGAAAGGCTTCCCTCAGGAAGAGTTGAAATGTCCTGAGATCTTAGGATGATTAAAGTTCACCAAGCAAAGAGGCAACATGACCTGCTTGAAGAACAAAAAGTCACCAGTGTGACTGGAACCCAGAGAACAAAGGGGAACAGGGTGCCAGGTAGGGTTAGAAGCTTTCCCAGGAGTTGAGAATGTCCTGAGATCTTAGGATGATTAAAGTTCACCAAGCAAAGAGGCAACATGACCTGCTTGAGGAACAAAAAGTCACCAGTGTGACTGGAACCCAGAGAACAAAGGGGAACAGGGTGCCAGGTAGGGTTAGAAGCTTTCCCAGGAGTTGAGCCACCCGAGTTGTATTTTTGCTGCATTTCGAGTGGAAGTGGGGGTCCGGGTGAAGGTAGCACAATCAGATTTGTGTTTCACAAAGATCATTCTGGAAGCACCTGGAGAGTGCAGGGAAAGGGGGCCAGGAAGAGTTGAGGAGACTTATGAGAAGCTCTTGCAGTGGCTCAGGTGAGAGACGGCGCGAGGGAGAGGAACAGGCAGATGTGAGTCACAAGAGGATACTACGGTAGGTGTGGGGGTGCAGGGGGACTCCCAGGTTTCCACTTCACCCAACAGGGCAGTGATGGTGCCCTTCACGAGAATCAAACATGCGAGGAGGGCCATGTGCTGCAGCCATGCCTTCATGACCAGACTGGCTTTTCTGATCATTTCTCTGATTTCTGCTCTTTCCAACAGGGTAACTTCTTTCAGAATATTGGTTCCATTACCCTGTTTGCTGTTTTTGGTACGGCGATCTCCGCTTTTGTAGTAGGTGGAGGAATTTATTTTCTGGGCCAGGTAAGAAAAACATGTTTGAAAAACTTTGAAAATCTTATATTCTTAGAGCTAGTGCAGGGAGGCGGGATAGGGATACTTTATGGGGCCTGGGTTTCACTTTCAGGGTAAATGCCCTCCTGCAAGGATATCCCAACTTACATGAGGCACTTTCAAGGCATGTTAAATTGTTTCTAAGTGCCCCAAGAATTTTGGCGTCTGGAATTGAGTGAATCTTTTCTATAATCCCCCAAGTATTTGATTTTATTTGCAAACCAATCTTGTCTCAAATTGGAATACCAAAAAATAGAGCAGAGTATGTACTATATACCATCAAGATCTTCACATTGTAACAGTGTAGGTTATGTTGTCAGGTAGACTGAATTGGGGTTGAATGCTGTTTTTTGAATGAAAGTTTGCATCTTAAAATCAAAGGTGATTCTGAATTTCTTTTTTCTGTGGCTGGCCAGTACAGGGATCCAAACCCTTGACCTTGGTGTTACAACACCATGCTCTAACCGGCTGAGGTAACTGGCCAGCCCTCAGAGATGATTCTGAATCTGTTCACTCAATTCTAAACTATCCACCTGTAGAATTATATACTCCAGATTTTCTACCATTGCTAAACCACTTTCCAGTGGCATCAATTGGGAGTTCTGTACTTGGGCTTCAAACTAATTTAGACCAACATATCTAGGAAGGTAGTATCTGTAGTTTTGCATTATGCATGTCCAGTACAATTCTTTTCCTTTTTATTGTCAGTTGCAAGAAGTTTGCCTGCCCCAGTTCTGAAATCTAAGTTGAGGTTCAGGCATCTGGGTGACCGGCAGATTTCTGTCATGTGTGTCAGCTGTTTTCTTCTCTCTCTAGCTAACGCCCATTCCATCTGATTTCCACCTTTATTGCTGCCTCAATGGGGCCAGAATAAATCTATCTGTCATGCAACTTTCTTCATTGCTCAGCTTCTAGTATCAAATAGGAATCAACTTTAGAGAAGAAAACTGCAGTTAATTGAGCTTGGAAAATGTAGCGTTCTTTTCCCTACTTTTGTTGTATGCTGATCAAATGTATGCTTAAACTAAAACTTAGGAGTTTTCTTTATTTTTCAAGTGGTTTGGGGACTGAAGATTAATGTCCTTATTAGTTTGTAATAAAGCACTAATGGACATTTTAATCTTGGCTGTTCTCCAGGGGTTTTTTTTTGTGTCTGTGTGTTTGTATGTTTTATTTTACAGGCTGATGTAATCTCTAAACTCAACATGACAGACAGGTAAATCCTTCATCCTGTAACACCTATGTGACTGCTTTTCAAACTGGGGAAAATTTTCTCCACATTGCTTTCTGGGTGTGGTATTTCTCTATTCTCTCTTTCTCTCTCTCTTTTGTTTGTAATTTCTGCTGTAGAATTTATTCTGAATTAATTTATGTCTCTGAAATGAATCAAAATTATACTGAGGACTTTTGAAAGTCCCTAGTGAGAACATTGCTGATTGAAATGATTAATTTGGTTTAAGCATTGGAGGTAATAGCTCTGGTCAGTTAGCTGCTCTGCCCGCATACACACATACACTGTACCATTGTCCTTTTATTATTAAGAAATATCTTCAGCTAATTTCTGTTTTTTCAATAGCCATAATGAAAAGTTATCTTCTTGATAGATAGGGATGGAAGTGGGGGGCAAGGTGGAATCTTTACTCTGAGATTCCCACCAAGGTTCAGGAGGGGCTGAGATGGGGAAAGCAGGCAGGGCCTAGGGCTCTTTGTGGATTTCTCCCTCAATCTGAAGCTACTTCAGTGAGCACCATCCAGTGGGCTGCTATCTGGGATCCCCGACCAGGAATTTCCACAGTCGGCTTAGCAAGAAGCAACCTATGCAAGGTATCTCTTGGGAGGTACCAGATCTAGTGCTGAAAAAGTGCCCAAGCAGAGTGCAGCCGGTTTCCCCTCTCTGAGAAGTCCTGCAAGCCTGCAACCTTGCTCAGTGTTTCTGCATCCACCATCGGTTTGGTTTTATAGCACGGCTGGGGAGCTGGGAAGTAAGGCTAAGTGGTCAGCCCAGGTCCTTCCCCTAGGCCCAGCCAAAGCTTTCAGGCTTTAGCAGCAACTTTGTACTTTGGGACTGGGATCTTGGAAGCCTTTTCATAAGAAATGTGCCTCTGATAAGTCCAATCCCATTCCCACCTCCACCCAGCTCCCACCCCCACAACAGACATAAATTTGGAGGATTTTGTTGTAAGACAGTTTTGATATATAAGCAGGTAGCAAAAGTTGCATTCCTATTCCACAGGAGCTGGAAATAAAGTAGAACTGATGTCCTGTGTTTTGTAGCTATTTTTCAAGTGAACAGAAATGCCCTAAACCCAGTTGATGCAAAGGAAGGTGTCACAGCATTCAAATGTTCAACCTATTTTGGAAGCAACTGGTTAGAAATACAGACAATGCTGGATAAATTTTTGTGAAGTTGAATTGATTCGGTGGTTGGGATGTTGAGGTGGAGGAGAGGAGAAGAATTACCCCTTAGGCAGGCCAGGTAAGAGCAGGTAGGGTTTCTCTCCCCGTGTGCAGATGTTTCCTTTCCTATTCAAAAGTGACTGTTCCATGATGGGAACTGCTGTAGGGTCATTAACTCACACAACCACAGGGCCTGGCAGAGCACTAACAGGGAGAAGCTGGCCAGGTGTGAGTCTAGAGGTGGTACCATAACAGGGGCAGCCACTTCTCAGCTCCAGCTAGTAACTACCATGTAGGAATATTGGCTCAGACTTAGTAGATATTTTAAAAGTATTTTTCAAAAGAGGCCAGATTTCTAGATTTTTATAGGGAATTTTCCAGTTTAGAAAGGTTGACAACTTATTCAGTTTTTCAGAAACGCCATGCAGGCCAAACGTGAAACCCACAGACTGCCTATTGCAACCTCTGCACTATAGAAAACACAAAAATATAACTTTGTTGCACAGATTTTGTTTTAGTGATATTTCTGCTGGAGAGAGATTTCACTCTTTTTATTTTCCTTTTTTTTTTAAAGATGAGCAGTAAGGGGATCTTAACCCTTGGCTTGGTGTTGTCAGCACCACGCTCAGCCAGTGAGCAAACCGGCCATCCCTATATAGGATCCGAACCTGTGGCCTTGGTGTTATCAGCACCGCACTCTCCCGAGTGAGCCACCGGCTGGCCCCTGAGATTTCACTCTTAAGATACCCTGAATTACTTCACTGCTCTAGTCTATTTCCTTTTCATTTTGTTGATGTTGCTATCTTTTGAGGTGATGGAATAAAGAAAATATATTTTTAAGTTGAACTTCTAGTTTCTGGCCTTTTAAAAGACTGGGTCACAAAGTATAAAGTGTAACAACTGAGGGTCAGGTTAAATGACCCCTTGGATACAGCCCTTTCAGTGATTCAGGCAGTTCATATTTCACACTTTTCGTATTCACTGTCAGAAATACTCTACCCCCATTTAGATTCCCAACCAAAGCTAAGTGTGTTATATGATTTATACAAAGCATTTCCCCCCAGCTTTTTATTATGAAAAATTTCAAACGTACAGAAAAGGTGAAGCATCAGACAGTCAACACCCATACAGCCACCACCTGGGTTCTACAATTACCCTCTTATGTATCTGCTTTAGAATGTGTCTTTCCATCTGTACATCCCTCTCTCCATTTATGAGTTCATCTTGTAGTTCCTGCTCTCTGATTTCCAGTCTGGGATGTCAGAAGGACTGTGGGAAAGTATATAAGCCAGTCCCCTATCAGTGTAGCTCAAACCCAACACAAACAGATTAAGCAAAAAAAAAAAAAAAAAAAAAAAAAAAGTTTGAGAAGTTTGTTGGCTCATAGAACTAAAGTGTCCCCAGGATGATGGCTTCTGGCATGACATCCTCCAGGGGCCCAAGATGTTGTGAATTTCTCCTCTCACTGGGTCTCAGCTCCATTCCTCCCTGATTGGCTTTACCCTCGCCCTACGTGGCAGCACTGATGGCTCCAGGATCACATCACTCTCACTTTAGCCTTCTCTGCCGAAAGGGCCAGTCTATTCCTGATGACCTGGTAAAATGCCTGGCAGTGGCCCTCATTGTCCAAACTTGCGGCCCACACCCATACCTAGAGCCTCATGTGACTACAAGGATGGGGAGTGGGGGAGGGAAGGAAAATTCAGGTGCTGTCACCAAGACCAGGAGGAGAAGGAGGGGGGCGTAAGTGCCAACCATGGCTGTCCAACTGCACTGTGCTTGGGTATTGAAGGAGAGGCCACCTGAGCTGCAAGCAGTCAACACATGACACATAACCCAGTACAGCTCCCAGGTTCCCTCTCCCTTGCCTCTTGCACCCCTTCAGGATACACTTTTGAGATGTTCTTCTTCCTTCATGGCCCCTTGTGATGTTGCTGTACAATGCAAGGGCTGAGGACCAGCCGCAGACCAGCTGCAGACAAAACAGGGCCTCCCAGGTTGGCAGTGTTTAGGTGGAGTTGCCTTTTCTTCCCTCCCTCTCCATTCTTCCCTCCCTCCCTTCCTCCTTCCCTCCTGCCTGCCTTCTACAAGTGTCTCTGGGCCATGCTCTCTACAGATCCTGGGAACACACCCATGACAAAAACACAATGTCATCCCCTCAGAGCTCACCAGCATGTAATGAGCTCCATGAGGACAGATGAAGTCTGGGAACTGAAGTCTGAGCTGAGCTCTTCTTGTGAGGACTAGTCCTCACCTTGGGATCTGGACACTCTCCTGGATGATTTCACATTAATCACACTCACAGGGAAACGCCATGGAAACCAGAAGGCCAAATTATTCATTTACAAAGAGAATGCTACCTGGCCAGGCAGCCAGGCATTTCCTCTGATCAGCACTCTTTTCCCTGACTCCCATCACAGGAGCAGAGGCTGCTGGGTGACTGGTGATGGAGCAGGGCAGAGCACGCCCCCTGCCCCAGATGGCGGAGAGTCTCTGGCTCATGATTCTGATGTGGGGCTGTGCCCTGGTCTCCGTGTTTTGCCTTGTGTGTGGGAGGGGGCAGACCTGGCCATTCTGCTGAGCTAGAAAGAAAGCAGTGCCAGGCATAGCAGAAGAGGGAACAGAAGGCTTGGAGAACACTATGGGGGAAACCAACAAGTAGCTGAGAGAATAAATCGTCCAGGCACGGCCCACGTGGCCCATAGGGGATCTGGGCCTACCTCCCTCGCCAGCCTCTAACGTCTCCTGCCATACACCCTTGCTCCCTGATGCCACACATATGTTTCTCAGGCAGCCAAGCTTGCTCCCACCTTAGGGGTTACTTGTTACCTGTGCCCGGAGATCTTGGCCAATCCAAGTGGCGTGCGTGCACACACGCGCACACACACACAACACGTGCACACACTCACACACACACCCCACCAGGTTACTCACACGCGCGCACACCCACCTTAGGGGTTACTTGTTACCTGTGCCCGGAGATCTTGGCCAATCCAAGTGGCGTGCGCGCACACACGCGCACACACACACAACGCGTGCACACACTCACACACACACCCCACCAGGTTACTCACACGCGCACACACACACACACACACACCCCACCAGGTTACTCTTTCTCATGTCACGCTGATTTATTTCCTGTGTACCGTACACTTGTCTTAGTCTCTGGATATTGCTGAATCTGCCATAGTGTTAAGGTGTACCGACTCTGAGCCAGATAGCCTGTGTTTGAAATCTGGCTGTGCCACTTGTTAGCTGAATGGCCTTGGACAGGTTATCCCATCTCATTGTTCCTCAGTCTTCTCCTATTTTATCAGGGCAGTAGTAGTACCACTTCAGGTGCTGTGTGGATTATTCAGTTACTACATGTAAGGTACTTAGGACAGTGCCTGGGATGTGGCAAGTGCCACAGAAATGCTTGCTATTATTTGCCTCAGTGCCTGAAACATATCAGGCAATTAATAAATATTTGTTGGAGGTGATTCAATCTTCACGGATTCTGTCAGCGAGACCCACTGGCTTGGCTGAGAGATAGCATCAGCGTTGGTGTCTGTCACCCAAGCTGCCCATCCCCTGAAGCATGCTGGAGTTGCTGCTGGCTTCTGGCACTTTCTTAGATGTTACGAATCAGAGTGGAGGGTGGGGTTGGTCATAGATAGCTCTCTGATGGCCTGGTGGCAGAGGGCAGAGGAGAGATTAGACCGAGGAGCTCATGGGCCATTTGGCCCCAGCTGCTCTGACAAGAGGGCTAGACAGTGTGTAAGGTATTTAAGCAGAAGTCTTCCATCCATCGTTATCAAAATAAAGTCTCGGTGCTGACAGTGGAAAACCAGGCCATTCCTAACAACTCATTTTAGAGTGGGCCTTTCACTGTTCCACCCACCATGTCAATCAGCAGACAAGTGGGGGAAAAAACCACCATCTTCTGTGGTCACTTCTGCTCCAGTGGAAGTTAAATATAGCCTTTAACTTTAATGCTTCACTATGGGGGCTAAGCTATTTGCGTTACAGAATCCCCCCTTCCTTTTCTCTTCTTCCAGTTTTGCGTTTGGCTCCTTAATATCTGCTGTCGACCCAGTGGCTACTATTGCTATTTTCAATGCACTTCACGTGGACCCTGTGCTCAACATGCTGGTTTTTGGGGAAAGTATTCTCAATGATGCAGTCTCCATTGTCCTGACCAAGTAAGTGTGTGGCTGTGAGAGAACAAACTGCTGTCTTCAAGTGACAGAACTAAAGGTCCATGTAACAAGGGTCAGAGATTTCCATGCAGCTGCGTGTACATTTGCTTGTCCTCTGATTGGTTCACCTGCTGTCTTTTCTCATCTTTCTGTCCTGACGAGCCTTTAAGTGCCACAGGAGTATTGTCAGGGGCCAGAGTAGGAGAGGAGAGTCCACCATTTTTTGACTTACCTTTTAGCAGAGGTTTCTGAGCCCAGCTTCTTATCAGCATCACTGAGGGTGCTTACTAAATGTGATATTCCCAGGCCCCCCCCTCAGAGCTTCAGTTGGTCTGGGATGGGTCCCAAGACCTTAGGATTTCATCAGCTCCCCAGGTGATGGATGAAGCAGCCAGCTGAGAGATCAGTGTTGGGCAGCCTTATTGACACAAAAGCAGTAGACAGAGGCCTTGCCCTCCCACTCACTATCTGTTGCATGTTGCCTCCATTTTCACAACTGTAAAATAAAGTAGTGACACTAATACGTGTCCTGCCTTAAGATGCTATTGTGTTGGGCCGGCCTCATGGCTCACTCAGGAGAGTGTGGTGCTGGTAGCACCGAGGCTGCAGGTTCGGATCCTATATAGCGATGGCCAGTGCGCTCACTAGCTGAGCATGGTGCGGACGACACCATGCTGAGGGTTATGACCCCCTTACCGGTCAGAAAAAAAAAAAAAAAAGATGCTATTGTGTAAAAGCTACTTTGGAAACTGCAAATCTTTTAAAAATATTCATTGATATTACTGCCCTAGTTGATGGGATCTGAGAAATTAAAGATGAATCATAAGATGTCAAGAAGTCATTGGGAAAAGGAAATGCAGTTAAGATCATCCTAAATGCTTTTATCTGATATGGGGCTGTTTCCTTGGACTCTGCATTTTATGGTGGTTGTTAACGTGTGGGTGGGAGACCCAAAGAGTTTTGCCATAAAGCAGAAAAGGCACAGACAGTCAAAGCATTTGGAGAAAATAGCCCTGGGCAGTGCATCAGAGATGAGCTAAGAGCATTTTGGAGGCCAATCTATGTTCTGTTAGAGAATAGAATTTCCATTTATCTGAAATCTGACTTGCTTCCTTTGTTGTGAGATTTCTGGCAAAGCATAACCACTCTGTGGGGGTTAGCATTTTCTTAAAAGCTTTATTATAGACTATATTCAAAATTCTTATGTTGGAATAAATGACATTTTATAGGGGAAAGAGCCAGGTTTTGGAGTCAGGCTGACCAGAGTTTGAGTCCCAGTGATGCTACTAATAGCTTTGCAATTCTGGACCAGCTCCTGCACCTCTCTGAGCTACAGGTTTCTTAACCATAAAGTGAGGGTGATAATGCCTTAGCCTAGGATCGGATTTGAGGGCTGAATAGTTAATTATGATACTATGTGAAAAGCATCTGACACCAGTTAATATGAGATCCTTTCCTCTTTCACCCTGCCCCCGGTTAATATTTCACCCTGTTTGCCCTGTGTTTGACCTATCTTTGCAGGAAGAGCTGACCAAATATTGCTTAATTGCAAGAGGTGCTCAACAGACCTTTAAAAAAAAAAAAATCTTTAAAATATTTGTGTTATTGGGCCGGCCCGGTGGCGCACTGGATAGTGCGCCGCTTGGGAAGCGCAGCGGCGCTCCCGCCCAAGGGTTCGGATCCCACATGCAGACCGGTTCCCGCTCACTGGCTGAGCGAGGCGCGAGAGCAACACCGAGGGTTGGGATCCCGTTGCCGGTCCCCGGTCCGGTACGGGGGCAACACTGAGGGTTGCGATCCGTTGCCAGACACGGAAAAAGACAAAAGACAAAAAAAAAATATTTGTGTTATTCTGAAATTAATATATATATTCTTCATAAATTAGAAAACACACATGGGCCGGCCCGGTGGTGCACTGCTACAGTGCGCCGCTTGGGAGTGCGGGGGCACTCCCGCCGAGGGTTCGGATCCCACATACAGACCGGTTCCCGCTCACTGGCTGAGCGAGGGGCGGGCGCAGCGCTGAGGGTTGCGATCCCGTTGCCGGTCCCGGTCCGGTACGGGCGCAACACTGAGGGTTGCGTTCCGTTGCCTGACACGAAAAAAGACAAAAAGGAAAAAAAAAAGAAAACACACAAAAAAGAACAATAACACACATTGTTACTACTCAAAGATAATTGTGGTTAACAATTTGGTATAAGTATATATATGTTTTATTTAAATGGGCTTATACCTCAAATACTATATTGTAACTTTACCACTGAACAGAGTTGATAAAACATTCTTCTATAACATCATTTTATTGGTTTTCCTTTACATGAATTTACTGTGATCTAACCAATTCCCTATTATTGGCTTTTTCACATTTCTCTTGGTAGAAATTTTTATAGCTTTATTAGGAAATTGTCAGTATATCATGCTGTAAGACCTTTCAAAAATCTGGTGGCAGTATTTTTTCTTGTTTAAGATCTACTCTGAAAGCTGCTTAGCTTTCTGGTTTTTACTTTTATCTCATATCCTGCCTATACATATTGAACATTTGTGATAAGGAATTTTGCCCAACTCAGAGGTGACATCATGAATTATTTTTATGCATTAGGAGCTAAACTCAATTGCTTTGTCTGATTTATTTAAAGAAAAAAATCTGTCAGAGGTAGGATCTTTTCTGAATTTTTCCAGGTCTCTTTGCTACAAAAAGGCAAAAGGTTAGTAACTATTTTCTTTTTAAAATGAGAAATGATGGAGTCATGGTAAGTAGGCAAAGGTTCTTACTGGAAAAGACTTTTGAAGGCCAAGATCACCTATGGTGATAGTTTCCACAGTTGGATCTGTGGACCACATGTGTATATGAGGGTATTTTTAAAAGTTCATGGAGAGGCTGGTCAGTTAGCTCAGTTGGTTAGAGTGCAGCCTTGTAACACCAAGGTCAGGAGTTTGTATTCCCATACAAGCCAGCCACCAAAAAACAAAAAGTTCATGGAAGGATTCATATTATCTTTTGATTCTGTTTTTCCACAAATTTTTTAGAGTACCCACATGTAGTCTTCAGCCTCCTCCTCCGCTACAAGCACTGCCACTGCTGAGCCACAGGTTGGTCTAGCAACCAGCCTCATGGACTCTCTCCAAACATGCTAAAGGCTGGTTGTCTGCCATCAGCATTTGGTGAGGGCCCTCTGTGTGCCAGACACTGCTCAGAGATGATGGATTGGATTTGACAGTTGGATTTGGATTTGGATGGACTCGGGCTGCGGTGGGCAAAAGATGCTCATAGAACACAGTGCCAGGAGTATGGGTTGGGACACAGCCACCGTGCAGGATTCAAGGAAGGCTTCTCTGATGAGTTGTCATGTGAATCAGGCCTTGAAGGTTGGTAGGCATTTTCAGACAGGAGAGAGAAAGGGGACATGGTAGTCCTACCTGCCCTGCCCCCGCCTTTTTAGGTAGTATAAAAGAAAAAATAAAATAAAACAGCTCCAGGGAGCTGTTGTCACCTTTCCTTGGTTATAAGGAAAACCTCTCGTTTTTAAGGGGTATACTTCATGAACAGTCATTTCCAAAGTGATCTGACACATTTATTGTTTGCAACTGTCTATCAGAATGAATTAACCCATTTTTAATGTTGTCACCTTCATAAGTGCCAGAAAGCAAAGTGTCTTCTGTTTCTTCATTAACTTTAATTGAATTATTTTTAGCTTTGATTTGTTACTATGACAATGTATTCTTATAATAATTGCTGTAGAGGAAACCTTTTGTTCTCTCTAGCTACGCTTAAGCCCATGAAATGAATCCTGCAGCAGCATTGTCTTTTATTCTTTAAGGTATGAGAAATGTGACCTTAAAAAATAAAACATAGAAAATTACCTGGCCAGAAAGAATCCAAGTTCTACTTTTATTTATCTTGAGTTCAGAAACCACTGGTTCAGCTCTGGATCTGCTATTAACCCTTTGGGTGACCTTACCCAGTTATTCACTCACTTGGGCCCCAGCCTCCTCTGTGTGGAAAGAAAGCAGGGAAACCAGTCTAGGAACCAACCATGGTAGTGATGGGGGGTGGGGGTGCACACTGTATGCATGTGATCCACAGTTTTCATTTTGGGAAATTATAAGTGATTGTGACCTTCAAAAGCGTTTTCCAGTAACAGCCCTTGTTAGCTCCCACATTCCCCAAAGCAGGATGTTAACCTGTGATCTGCTGGGAAAGAAAGAGAATGGGGAAGATCATGTGGTCAGGTGAGTGTGGAAAACCTTTGTGTGAAGTGAGTTAGATTTCTTTTTTGCAGGACTTCTCAGAACCTTTGTTATGTTATTTTGCACTGTGAATCTCCTCTTAACAGCTTCCTGAGGTTATTTGACCAAACTATCCTTTTTTCAGAGATTATCCTGCTCTAAAATGATACCAATTCATGAAATGCTGATGAATGAAGCTGAATATTACTGTTGGCTAGTCTTTGTTTCATTTGCTGATTCAGCAAAAATATATTGAGTGTCTTTTGTGTGCTGAGCTCTACTCTAGGTCCTGCACATATGGCCATGAACAGGATAGACACAGGCATGGTCCTCATGGAATGATTCACCAGTTTTCACATGCCATGAAGGGGAAGGCAGGCACCATGAGAACCTAGAAATGGGCTGGCCTCTGTGAAGGGTCAGGGCAGGTATCCCTGCAGGAGTGGCACTGACATTGGGTTCTGAGGGATGAATGGGAGAGTTAGCTTGAGGCCAGGGAAGGGTGACAGGTGACCTACAGGGAGGTGCCAGTGACAGTGAGGCCCCACTCTAAATGAGGAGGAAATGAGGTCAGAGGTATGGTAGGTCCAGGAGCCAGGTCATGCTAAGTACTGGACTTCATCCTAGAAGCATCAGGAAACTGTAACCTGGTCAGATTTGCATTCTGAAGGGGTCACTCAGGCCACTGAGTGGAGAAGGAATTGGTCTGTAGGAAGACAAAGATGTCTATAGAGAGATCAGTGAGGCACAGCCCTGGCAGGGAAGCAGGGGGAGGGGTGGAGAGAAGTGGATGGATTTGAGAGATAGTCAGGAGGCAGAGTTGACAGGAGGAGGATATTTAATGAGAACAGCTCCATGCTAATGGTATAATTGTTTTCCCTTTGGGGATAAAACCAACAATTGGCTTTAATGGCTTCTGACATTTTACTTTGTTCTTTATAGTGAGAGGAAAGTTCTTTCAACTTTTCCTCCTTAATGCCTCCCTAAGCCTCCCTCTCTCCTGAAACCTCTGACATTTCTTCTTTGGGTGGCTTCATTCTAATTTGGCTTCTTGCCATAGCCTCAATTTCAGTTCTATCGCAGGATTCCTGCACTGAAAACACTTCGCCTTGACTCCCTCGGGCCTTCAGGGAGAAATGCCGATGCCCTCCACAGGTGCTGCCCTAGCCCCCTGCTCTCGCCTGGGCTCCTGCCTCCCCGACTCCATTCTGCTGCCTGTGTTTTAGCCATGCTAACCCCATACTTGAATGTCCCCACAGGGTGCTACATGTGCTTGGGATCCCTGCTTTTGCACATGCTGTCTCTTGGCCTGGGACACTTTCCCTCATTTCTTCACCTGGGCCACTCTTGTTTATCCGAAATCTAAAGCCAGCCCTTATATCCTCGAGAACCTTCCTTGACCCCCACCAATCTGAGTGAGATGCCTATCCTGTGTTCCTACAGCCTTTTGCCTTCCCCCAGATTGTCATCTGTTGTCATCTTGTTTTTCTCCCTCATTAGACAAGGGGGAGCTTCTTGGAGTCAGGGACTTTGCTCTCATCTCTGAAGCTCCAGAAACTAACACAGTGCCTGGGACAAATAGGTGAACAAATAAATGTTTGAATGACTGAATGATGGAATGAATGAGGGAGGGAATAAGCAAGAAATAAGTTTTAAGTTCTAAGTTAATTTTTAAGAACTTCATCTGTTATATTTTAACTTCTTTCTGTTTTCCTCTATTTCCTAGCACAGCTGAAGGTTTAACAAGAAAAAATATGTCAGATGTCAGTGGGTGGCAAACATTTTTACAAGCCCTTGGCTACTTCCTCAAAATGTTCTTTGGCTCAGCAGCGCTCGGCACTCTCACTGGCTTAATTTCTGCATTGATATCCTTTTAATATTATGAACACTGAGGGCTGAAATTATTCTTGATTATATCCATGTCTAGCTGTTTTCTCCTTATGGGGGCCAATTTTAGTCTAAGGTTCTGTTTGAAGGAGGATTTTTATGCTTAGTTTTGGTTTGAGAAACACTCTAATTTATTTTTTTATTATTATTTTTTTTAAAGATGACTTGTAAGGGGATCTTAACCCTTGGCTTGGTGTTGTCAGCACCACGCTCAGCTAGTGAGCTAACTGGCCATCCCTATATAGGATCCGAACCCCCCTGGCCTTGGTGTTATCAGCACCGCACTCTCCCAAGTGAGCCATGGGGCCAGCCCTGAAACACTCTAATTTGAACTTAAGGATATTAAAATTTAACATGTGAAATTTAGGATGTCACTCTTCAAAGCTTAAAAAACATGTCCATTGTTGGATATCAAATACAATTTGGGGGAGGCTTCTCAGTTCCCATAGTGTGATAACCATATTCTTATGATTTTCATTTTTTGCTGTCTCATTTTTCACATTCAAAAAATTGGAAATTAATTTTTTTTGAAAATTGAGAAAATCTTTACCTCACTGAAAGTGTTTATCTGGAAGAATTGGAAAAGGGACTTTCAAAGTGTGTTTCATCTAAGTTATTTGCACTGATTTTTGATGCTTAACAACCCGTAAGCTTTTTCAGCCAGAGAATGAAAGAGGGTTGTTAAGGCCAGTAACACCTTTATTGATGTAGAAAATTCCTCATGTTTAAAATAGGAACAGGCACCAGACCATGTCTGCACATGCCTAAGCCTGCGTCTCAGAGAGCTGGCCTCCTGGCCCTCCTCCACGAGCAGTTGTTTCACAGATGGCCAGGAAAGACTCTTTTGCCTGGTTACAGGCATATTTTTCTGCCATTCTCATTGAATTTTCCCATCAGCTCCTTTGTCCAGAAGTCTAAAGACTCTACTAAGTTGACCGAGAGCTTCTCATATTGTACCAATAAACAGAATGTAAAAGAAAACTTTTTCCAGTTCAGTATTTTCCTCCATGTTTATCTTTTCATTAAAAAAAAAAAAGTATCTATTATAATGAAGCTGAGTAAATGGGTATTATGAGCTCCAGGACAGTCATTGTGAACAACGTTTGAATATATTGAAGACACTTTGCTTTCACAAGGGCATGATGAGTTGAGAAATCTCCAGGAATAGTAAAGACTGTCCTTCAGTAGCGCATTGAACCCCAGGGTCTAGAAAACAAGATGGGTGCCCATTAGTGATCTCATCTGATGTCGCTGGAGGAGGTGGGAGGAGGTGGGGGGGTGACACAGCCCTGGGAGGGTCCTGGCAGTATGGGCTGCCCTCAGCATGTCTGGAGCCTAGGCACATTCCCAGCCCTCTAAAGCATTTTTAAGTGAGTTGACTTAGGTTGATTTTAATTTTCCCACACCGTTTGTCTCAGGAGTTCACATTTGTTAGTGTTTTGTCAGATTCCCTTTCTTACAACAAAATTCTCCCTACAAAGAAAAAGTTCCAAAATAACATATTTTCATTTGTAAGATTGTTTCAAAATCTTTTGTCTCCATTGTTTTCTTTATATATTTGGAAGGCAGAAGTTTTGTGACATCTCCCATCAACTGTCCCTTGATTCTCCTTGACAATTGTCATTTACGTGCTAAAGCATATTGACTTGAGGAAAACACCTTCCTTGGAGTTCGGCATGATGATCATTTTTGCTTATCTGCCTTATGGACTCGCAGAAGGAATATCACTCTCGGGTAAGTGACAGAGAGCCCAGAAAAGCCACGGTGATGGCACATTGTCCTACCTGGTGAAGAAGGTTTTCCCTCAATTGGGTCACTTTTAGTTGCAAGAGACAAAGTCACAACTCAGAAGAGCTCAAGCCATAAAAGAGATTTATTGACTCCCTAGGAATGCATCTGGAGTTAGGCCTTGCTGGATCCAGAGGCACAAACAGTCACACTGGTGTCACGGTCACATTTTCTCTTTACCTTCCTTCTCACATTGATTCCCCGTCGGTCTTATGAGACTCCCTCATAAGTAGGTAGCCTGTGGAGGGAGGTACTGGGCAGGTCCCTATTTCACTGATGAGAAACTGAGGTTGAGAGAAATTAAATAAATTGCCCAAGGTCACAGCTGGAATGGGTGGAAGAGTTATTCAGAGTAGTTGTTATCGACTCAAGAACCAATGGTTATAACCCCCTCCTCTTACACAGGTTTCTGCAAAACAGATAACCAGAAAACCAGGTACTAAGTAGAGGGACAAGCAAAGTGTGGCTGTGGCATGATGTAACAGAGGAGTTTACTGGACACACCTTACCTGTATTCAGTTTTTTAATGCTCCCACCACCCCCTTGGAGTGGGTACTACGAAGTGAAGTTATTAACTCAAAGCTTCCTAGGTAGTAAGTGGTGGCAGTGATATTCAAACGTGGACGGTCTGGCCCTAGAGCCTTTTCCACACACTCCAAGGAAGGAGAGCCTACAGCTCCCAGCAGCAGAGATGGCTCTTTGGTGTGGTCCTAGAATGTGATGTTTCCCAGCTGAAGGAGGAGTGGCCACTCACCCAGTGATGGTTCTTGGAGCCCTCACCTCCTTGTAACCAATCTACAGCCCCGGTATGCAAGGCTTGGCTTTGTTGGTCTTCCTGCCCACAAGTGATGGTCAGGCCCATGTCCACAGTTTGGTAAATTGTAAGGACATTGACCTGGAAATAGGCCACGTACCGTGTCTGGAGCATGACTCAGCAGTCTGACCCCACCCCAGCCTTTGAGTGAAGGCCCTTCAGGGGCCTCGTTCTGGAAGAGAGGCACCATTGCAGAGAATATTTTGGTCTCTGCAACAGGGTGGTTTTTCTTTTTCATTAACTTTGTTGAGGTATAATTTGCATATAATAAATGCACCCATTCTAAGTGTACAGTTACATGAGTTTTGGCAAACATATACAGTCATGTAACCACCACCACTGTCAAGATGTGGAGCATCTCCATCACCCCATGTATTTCCCATGTGCCTTTCTGCAGTTAGTCCCTCTGCCCATCCCTGAGCCCTGGCAGCCACTCATCTGCATTGTCACCATAGTTTTTGCCCTTTCCAGAATGTTATATAAGTGAAATCATGTACTATGTAGCCTTTTGTCTCTAACAATTCGAGGTCAGTTCTACTAATTAATTTTTCTGCTACTTGTAGGTCATATTTTCCTGCTCTTTGCTATTATTATTATTATTATTATTATTATTATTATTATTATTATTATTATTATTATTATTATTATTATTATTATTATTATTATTATTATTATTATTATTATTATTATTATTATTATTATTATTATTATTATTATTATTATTATTATTATTATTATTATTATTATTATTATTATTATTATTATTATTATTATTATTATTATTATTATTATTATTATTATTATTATTATTATTATTATTATTATTATTATTATTATTATTATTATTATTATTATTATTATTATTATTATTATTATTATTATTATTATTATTATTATTTTGGCAGCTGGCAGGTATAGGGATCCAAACCCTTGACCTTGTTGTTATAATGTGGTGCTCTAACCATCTGAGTAACTGATCAGCCCTGCTTGCTATTATTAATTTAAATGGATGCCAGTCATTGTGAAATTATGTTGTTGAGTATAAGATTTTACTCTATTCCTTTATAGAGTTCTGGACTTTTCTTCTGGCATGTATCTAAATCTCTTAGAATCAGTTTAATACTTTTGACAAGGCTTATTTTTAAACTTTGTTAGCAGATCCAGAGTATCATGACTAACTGAGACAGTAGCCTGCTGAGGACTCTACCTTGTGTCTCATGTCCATGAGGCCACACCACTCTGGCTGGTGGAAACATAAACTGTTCACAACCTTGTGTCAGTTTCGGGCATTGTTTGCCTACTTTTTGTTAGACCCTATCTCTCTCAGTACCTGGTAAGTTTTCAGCTATTGTTTCATTAAGTAAGCTTTCAATGCCTTTTTCTTTCTTTTCCCCTTCTAGTACACTCATAGTATGGATGTTTGTATGCTTAAGGTAGTTCGATAGATCTTGTAGGCTTTCTTCATTATTTAAATTTTTTCTTTTTCTTGGTCCACCTGGGTTAATTCAAAATCCCTGTCTTCTATTCAGAAATTCTTTCTTCCCATTGTCTATTCTATTGCTTAAGCTCTCAGTTGTATTTTTTTGTTTCATTGAATGAATTCTTTAGTTCCAGGATTTCTTTTTGGTTCTTTTTTATGGTTTCTGTCTCTTTGTTGAATTTCTCATACATGTCAGTATTGTCTTTTTTTGACTTCATTGTAATTTCTATTTTTTCTTGCATCATGTTGAGTTTCCTTAAGATTGTCATTTGGGATTTCTCTTAAGGCATTTCACTGGTTTCCTGTTGTTTGGGGTCTGGTATTGGAGAATTATTGTCTTCTTTTGGGGGTGTCATGTTTCCTTGTTTTTTCATGCTTCTTGTAGCTCTGCATTGATGTCTGGACATCTGGTGGTGTAGTTGCTTCTTTTAATTTTTGGAGTAGTTTTTGAAGGGAGAGACTCTTACCTGTAGAAGTATTCTATATTGATAGTTGGGTTAGGCATTGTAGGTTTAGTTCTGGGTGAGCATGGTAGTAGGTGCTGGCTTGCTCCCAGCACCCTCTCTGCTGGCGTGGGTGGGCAGACCTGCTTGGTCAGGTGGGACTCTGAGCGCCTGGGGGAAGGTGGGCATGGATCCAGGCAGCTGGCCTACTCCCCCCAAGCTTTCCACTGGGGTGGGTGGGCCTGCTGTGTCAGGTGGACTCTTAGCTCCCAGGGAAGGTGGGAATGGGTCCAGGCAGCCCGCACACCCCTCACATGCTTTACTGCTCTCCCCTGGGGTGGCTGGGCCCACTGTGTCAGGTGGGACTCTGAGCTTCCAGAGCTCCTGGGGAAGGCGGGCATGGATCCAGGTGGCTTGGGCACTTGCACATGCTCTCTGCTGATGCTGGTAAAAATAGATAAACTTCATAATTGCTTAGTGAAAGAATTGGCAATCTGCATATTGACATGTTAATAGTAGTTACCTCTGGGCAAGCAACGTGAATGGGATTCTCTTTTATTCTATACCTTGATGACTCTGAATGTTTTATAGCAAAATAAGTTTATTATTGGGTAATTAACAAAGAAGGCTGAATGTGGTTTGATTCAACCCTCAAGAAGTATGTTACATTTTACCCACAGTAAGGTACAGTACAGTGGAAATTGTCCATGATACCTTTTCAGTGCCTTTTAGACTTGAATCCCTTTACTGTATTCCTTTATTACATCTAAAACAATGGATTTAACCACAGCAGAAATGGATTTCCTCCCTCCCTCTCTTTTTTCCTTCCTTCTTTCCAGGAGGCTGAATATTTTTGCTGCATTGTTACCTGTTTTCTTAAATGATTTTGCCTTCTTTTTTTTTTGAAAGATGACCACTGGGCCAGCCCGTGGCTCACTCGGGAGAGTGCGGTGCTGATAACACCAAGGCCACAGGTTCGGATCCCATATAGGGATGGCCGGTTCGCTCACTGGCTGAGCGTGGTGCTGACAACACCAAGTTAAGGGTTAAGATCCCCTTACCGGTCATCTTTAAAAAAAAAAAAAAAAGAAAGATGACCGGTAAGGGGATCTTAACCCTTGACTTGGTGTTGTCAGCACCACACTCTCCCAAGTGAGCAAACTGGCCACCCCTATATAGGGATCCGAAGCTGTGGCCTTGGTGTTATCAGCACCACACTCTACCGAGTGAGCCACAGGCCAGCCCTTGATTTTGCCATCTTAAAGAAGTAAACGTGTTGGGGATCCTTCTTTAATGTATATATTTTTAAATTGCCACGCCTTTTATTTCACTTACAAAAGTGAGCCTATTCAGACGTTAAATGACAAGGGGAAAATTTTTTTTAAAAAGTGAGCCTAGTTTCTACCATTCTCCCTGTGGTTAAGGGTGGTCAAGAGTCCCCTGTGCTCAGGGAGGGCACATAGGGCAGACACTTGAGCTGTCCCTCAGGCCTTTGCACCCACTCCTGCCCCTGATTCTTTCCTTTTGCCTCCAGAACTTGAGGGATGCCCTGACCCCACCCTAACCAGGGTAAAGCACTCTTGCATTGTTCAGCTGGCCCATTTCCAACATCAGTGGGGCAAGTGCACAGATGGCAGCTGTGGTCCAAACTCTGCCTCCAGATGGGGTGTGTTTATCTATACAGCACATTTTTAAACATTTGAATTTGCTGCCATTGTTAAAATTTCAGAGATTTCCCGTAAGAAAAGATTTCTGGCATCGCTCAAAAAACCAGAAGGAAGACTGATCAGTGCTAGGTCCCCAGTCCCACAGGGCTGCCATCAGCCTTTGTAAATAGGCTGCGCTTTCTTCCCCCATGGGCCACTCACCCACTGATTGTTTCCCTCCTCTCCAATTATTATTCTTTATATTTTTATTGTCTGGCCCCTGAGAGTTTTGAGTTTCCAGCCCCTGGTCTAGTGCACTGGACTGAACCAGCCAACCAAGCCCCTTCTGTGCTGAGCCTGTTCCCTTGCCGAAGAGCACTGAGGCAGGTGAGGGCTCTGGCAGTGGCTCTCCTAGTACCCCTGGTCTAGTGCACTGGACTGAACCAGCCAACCAAGCCCCTTCTGTGCTGAGCCTGTTCACTTGCCGAAGAGCACTGAGGCAGGTGAGGGCTCTGGCAGTGGCTCTCCTAGTGTTCAGTCCCAAGGGAAGTTCCACATTCCACTGTCAGGTCTGACTCCCTGGAGACTTTGCTTTCTGGAGTGTGTGTTTAACACTGGACTTCTGTGGGCTGTGACAGCTTCTCTCTGTGGGTGGAATGACGATTAGAGTGAAAGGAAACTTGCATCATGACCTCAATATGGCTCAGGCTCCACTTGGGTTGACTTTTATATCAAGGTAAGAGCCACAGAGTCTCAACTTTGCCAGTGAATTGATAGTCCCTCTTGAAGCAGGCTGGTAAAACTGAGGCAGCACAGAATAGGGACACACCCCAGGGAGGTTGCTTATAAATATTCAGACTGGATCAGCACTGTCTGCCTCCTTGTCTGGCAATTAATGAACCCATGAGCTGATGACAGCTTAACCTCTCTACCAATCAGCATGCTATACCTGGAACTTTGCAGTTACAAAAATTGCCACACCTGCTCACTATGAGGAACAAAAGTGCAGACAACCACTATATGACCTTCCACCCATGACACTAAACCAGAAAGGAAAGAGTTAAGGGAAAAAAGACCCCAGTGCCCATGACCAAAAACTTTAGAAACTCCAGGACGCCTGACAGGAAGCTGATATTGCATCAGCTATTAGTCTTTAATCACCCTAGATCCTCCCCCACAGCCAAATATTCCTCCCCTTAGTTAGGGTAGAGAAACACCCCCATCCTATAAACTCTCACCTTAGGAATCCGTGGCACATTCCTCCCTCCTGGAGACACCTGTGCACCTGTCTGCATGTACTTTCACATAACAGTAAAGTCCTAGTGTTTTAATGTTCTGTCGGTCTGTCCCTCTCTTCCTTTTCTTTTGGTGAGCACCACGACGTGGACTGCACTTGGTCCGGTGAAAGATTTTTCTACACAGTTTGACCAGACACCTAGAACTGCCATCTGGTAACAAAACAAAGCCCCTTGAAAGCCCAGAAGCCAGAATTTGTTAACATTGAACTTACAGTGAGGAAGAGAGCTTGATTCACTAAACACTTAAGTTGGTTGTGCCTTGCCTTCCCTCCCCAAGTCTGACAGTTGAGGTTGAGTTCCAGACCCGGTTGTGGTCTCTCTCCTTCTGTTGTACATGGTCTTGCCTTTTGATGGCATCAGTGCCTGCATTTTGTTGCAGAATCAGGAAGGGTCAGCCCTCCTGATATTCACCTGAAGAAACATACTGAGAGCTTTTGTTGCAGAATCAGGAAGGGTCAGCCCTCCTGATATTCACCTGAAGAAACATACTGAGAATGTAGAGAAAATGAATGTAGAGAAAAACTGGAGGTTTCTGTTATTATGTGCTTGCTTTTTATCTAGTAGAGAAGGGATTCAGAATGACTCTTGAGCTCCAAAGAGCAAGTAAAAAAGTCTCCTGCTCTCGTTTCCCTTTGCCCATATTGTCAGGTGTGTCTTGCAAGAAGCATTTCTGGAATCTCCCTGTCTGGCCTCCTTTATAGGGGAAATGAAAGAGCGAAGGAATTTGCTATTTCCTAAGAGGGTGAGGAGATACAATGTTCCAGCTGCTGCCATCACTCAGCCAGCAGGCACCTGTTGGGCAATACAAAGAGCAGGGTTTTCTTCTATTTCATAAGGTATTGTGTATACAGTAAGCTTAGTAATTGAAATGTCTGCGATGTAAGTGTGATTTTCATCCTTTTATAAATGGAAAGTCAGCCAGTTAAGCCCTGTTTCTACAAAATGGCAGAAGTGTTTTATAAAGTTTTAACTTGCAGTTAGTATATTAATATAGTGTCTAAGCAGCTTGTTTGATGACTTTGTAAAAATCTCAGCTTCCTTACATGAAATAGAGATGCATTTTCTGCTGCATAGGCAGGGATATACTGAGAAGAACCTGTGTAAAGTACCTCAGGAGTTACTTAGGGGCAGAGGACAAACATCGAGACTCAAATCCTGAGTAAGCAAAGAAGGTTGTAGATTCTCTCATGGAGAGCTCTGCAGAAAAGATACATGACCTTTTTTAATAACACATCTCCCTTTTTGTATTATAACAGTAATACATGATGAGTATGAGAAAACTCAAAATTAGTGAAAAGTGTTTTAAACAATCAAAATCTGCCCATTCTCCATACCCAGATTCTTGTGCTCCTTTTCTGCATCCACAGAGTGGTTCACCTGCCCCCTTATATCTTTGGATGACAATGACAGCTCGTACCTGTTCAGCCCTGGTACTGTGAAGGGCACTTTACATGGCTCATCTTCACTTACCCTCCTCACAGTTCCATGAGTGAGCACTGTTAGACTCACTGTACAGATGAGAAAACTGAGGCTTGGAGAGGGGAAATAACTTGGCCCAAGGCACCCAGCTAGTAATAAAGCTGCCAGAGCAAAGGGGCCATTGGTATTTCTCTGAAGCCTCTGGGAGGCCTCAAGTGTTATCATTTTTTCCTTTTTCTTAGAATCCTCAATACTCTCGGCTCCAGGGACTTGTAGGAAGTGTGAGAGCTGATTTGGGTATCATGTAGCAGGTGCTTTTCTTTCTGCTTAATCTGTGCACTTTGTCCCTCTGTCCCTCTCCAGGCATCATGGCCATCCTGTTCTCAGGCATCGTGATGTCACACTACACGCACCATAACCTCTCCCCGGTCACCCAGATCCTCATGCAGCAAACCCTCCGGACCGTGGCCTTCTTGTGCGGTGAGTTCTGCCTCTGTGTGGTTGTGTGTAGGCCTACCCAGAGCACATCCTTCTTCTTCACCCTATGTTAGGAGTCGGTTGAGATTTTCCCTGGCAGCAGAATTCCTCAGAGCCAGATGCTGCATTCCCCAATCTTCTGTTTGCTCCTGTGGCCTTGAAATTCCGTAAAGTAACCTGATACCTAGTAAATGGAATGTTTGATGCCTACAATTTTAAGACTAAAAATAATGAGAATACTAATTATGAACATTGAGACATGCCTTTTGAATGTATTAAAGTGACATTTCCAAAAATGTATTCCTTGGAAATGATATTGATGAGGGTTAGATGCAAAAGACTCCATAGTAAGAAGAGAGGTTGGGATATCCTGGGTTAAATAAAGTTTAACAAGTTTAGGAATGCAAGACTTTTTAGCTAATGTGCATTGTGAATTTCTAAGAAGGGGATGTAGCAGTAGCACTTCTCAGTCCTGTCCACAGAGCCCTTTGTTCACAAGAGCGTCCTGAAGGCCATAACTTGTGGAGATTCTGCAGTGGAGGTGTCTTTTGTTGGGCCGGGATAGACCACAATGACTTTTTCTTTAAAGCAGTATCAGTTTGCACTCTTGTTCATGCCACACTCAAGACATACCCTCGTATCTCCAGTTTATACCTGGGCATGAAGGAACCACTCTCACACTGTCCCTTTAAGCTGACTCCCAAGTGGCTGTGTCCTAGCTGTCATCATCAGCATTGCCCCTCATGTCCCAGGGGCTTGCCTCACTTTGAAGTGCTAGTTCCATACTGCTGTGTGCTAGGAGGCAGGTGCAGGCCATGCAGAGACTTCTGCAGATAGGGAAGCTCAGGTGAGAAGTCATATGACTGGCCCACAGTCTCATGGCCAAAAAGTGGGCCTAGAAACTGGGTCTCTTTATTCCTGGGCTGGTGGGCATTTTTTCCACAGCAACCCCCTCAGCAAACCAAGGCTAAAGATTCTGACCCTGAACCTCTCAAAAGGATGTAAATCAAAACATCCATCAAATTCTATTTCATACCCATCAGATTGATAATACCCACTTTTACCAGGGGTGTATGGAAAACAAGCCCTGTGTGTGGGCATGTGCATCGATGCGTCTTTTTTGGAGAGTCACTTGCAGCCTCTGTATGAATTTAAAAGGTACATGCTCTTTGACCTAACAATTCAACCATCAGGAATTTAGCCTGTGTACTAGGGTGTTTATTGTAGCCTGTGATTTCAGAAACAGTCTAATATCCATAGAGAATTGGTTAAATTAACTATGATATATTCATAATACTAGAATTTCTGCTGCCAGGGAAAAGCATAAAGTAGATTTGAATGTGGACTAAATGTGCAGATTTGGAAAGATCACAAAAATATTTAATAGATAAAATTTTTTGAGAAGGGTGAGTATACTGTTCAGCTTGTGGACTTCTTTTTAAAGGTTACATATTTGAGGGCTGGCCTGTGGCTCACTTGCGAGAGTGTGGTGTTGATAACACCAAGGCCATGGGTTCGGATCCCTATATAGGGATGGCCGGTTAGATCACTTGGGAGAGTGTGGTACTGACAACACCAAGTCAAGGGTTAAGATCCCTTTACCGGTCATCTTTTTTAAAAAAAAAAAAAGGTTAGATGTTTGAAGAAAAAACATTGCTGAAATATTTTAAAATAGCCTCACTGTTTTATGATGTTCAACTATTTTAAAATACAGTCTTTTTAGGGGCCGGCCCGTGGCTCACTCGGGAGAGTGCGGTGCTGATAACACAAAGGCCATGGGTTCGGATCCTATATAGGGATTGCTGATTAGCTCACTGGCTGAGCGTGGTGCTGACAACACCAAGCCAAGGGTTAAGATCCCCATATCGGTCAAATTTTTATTAAAAAAAAAAAAAAAATACAGTCTTTTTCTCCCTAGTTATTAGGCTGTTCCAGGGGACGTCACAGTTTAAGCAGGGAGCCTAGTGTTAGAAATTTATAAGGTGTGGGCCGGCCGGTGGCGCACTGCTACAGTGCGCCGCTTGGGAGTGCAGCGGCGCTCCCGCTGAGGGTTCGGATCCCACATACAGACCGGCCGCTCACTGGCTGAGCGAGGTGCGGGAGCAACGCCGAGGTTTGCGATCCCGTTGCCGGTCCCGGTCCGGTACAGGCGCGACACTGAGGGTTGCGATCTGTTGCCGGTCAGTAAAAAAAAAAAAGAAATTTATAAGGTGCAAAAAAAAAAAAAGAAAGAAAGAAAGAAATTTATAAGGTGCTTTTTCTTAAAGTACATAAGTGACTGTATAAGAGAGTAGATGTCAGGGCTCTTTTTGGCTTGTGAGCAGAACCAAGATTTGGAAATATATCTCTTCCTGCAAATCCTGCTGGGTTTAAACCATGTTTTAATGTTTGTGGCAGCATTAAGTATGTGAAGCCAATCATTTGGCGTTGTCCACTCTGGCAAAGAAGTTAGGCCCTTTCACACTTGTCATGTGGCATCTGCAGTCATTTGCTCTGAATTTTTGCTGCTCTGCCACTATTGGGATCTTGCTAATGACGGTGTTCAGCAAATGGGCAGATTCATATGTTTATCCTCTTCCCCGGGTGGGAGAGTGTTTATTTTCATAAGCATTTGACAGTTGACTCATTACGTTAGAGATTCTGAATAGCAGAGACTTGCTTGTGTGATAGAAAAGAATGAGAAACTGTTTAAGTGTAGGTTTGACCAAGAAGCGATTGCAGGATTTTCCAGGAAATAGTGTAATATTGGATTCTGACTTCTGAATGTGTGCTTGCTTAATAATTTAGTGCTATACTGGAAGAAAATACTTGGGGCTGAATAATCCATTCTTTGGTTTGTTTCAGAAACATGTGTGTTTGCGTTTCTTGGCCTGTCCATTTTTAGTTTCCCTCACAAGTTTGAAATTTCCTTTGTCATCTGGTGCATAGTAAGTATTTTCCTTGTTTTTTATTTAATTACTTATTTGTAGATCAATAACCACATGTTCTGGATTCACTTATGTAACTGTTAACTGTTAACATAAGCAGCTATATAGACACTTCTGTTTAAATTTTCTTCTGTTAAAAAAATCACAAACATACAATAAGGGGGAAAGGGATGGAATTAAGTGAACAAATATTCCTGGAAAAGGACTTTTGCTTGTTTTTTAATGGCCTTGAATATTATGGTCTCCTTTAAAAAGTACAAAGGAGATGTGTTTTTTGAAAAGGACTTTTGCTTGTTTTTTAATGGCCTTGAATATTATGGTCTCCTTTAAAAAGTACAAGTTTATGTGTTTTTATGTTAGGTGGTAAAAACAGATTTCAATATGTAATTGATGATAAACATGTAAAAATATTATGTATAGAAAAAAATATGTTCACAGTAATTGTAGAACTGGGGATGATTTATTTTTCTTTTCTACTTTTTCTGGATAATTTATATTGTTAAACTTCTTAATCAGTTTTCTTCAAACTTGTCTATTTATAAGCATGACCTTGGACACTTATTTAAAGTAAAGATCACCAGCCTTACATCCCTTGGAGAGTCATCCAGAGAAATTATCCCAGGTGATGGTTATGATCAAGAGGATTTGGGAAACAGTGTTTTAATTGGGCCTGAGGGTGGCAGTAGGAGACAAAGTATACCTTCCCATGCTGGCCAGCCATCAAAAAAAAAAAAAAAAGATATACCTTTAAAAAAGGAAAAGGGGTTGACCGGTTAGCTCTCTTGGTTAGAATGTAGTGTTGGTAACACTAAGGTCAAGGGTTCAGATCCCCTAACTGGCCAGCGTGGCCAGCCGCCAAAAAATAAAAATAAAAGAGAAGTTTAATCATTTGCAGCAGAATCAAATCCTTTAGGGGAATGGAATGGGGTGAAGTAAATGTTTAGCATTTAAAAGAAAGGTCCAGCTCCCTCAGGCATCTGATCAAAGTGACATTAATGGCTTCTAACACTTGGGCATTTAGCCTAGCATTCCCAGGTCCCTTGTCTGTGTTCTTCCTTTGTCTCTATTCCTTCAGTGTGAGCTCATCTGCTGATTTATACTCTAATCCCTAATTTGATCTCTCTGTTGTTGTCTTTTTAGATCCTCTGTTAATTTAAGGCACTTAGGAAACATACCTTATTGTTGCTGAATTATCATAATTTATCTTCAATTAACTTTTATTGCCAAATCCACTTCACAAAACACAGCTATTGGGAGGCAAACCTATTTTATTTTTTAAAGCACTGTCACCTACAATGTGCAGACTGGTAAGGCCTGCCTGTTTGGTGTATGGGAAACTGAGACACAGAGAAGATAAGGAACCCCAAGGAAAAAGATGTTCTCCTTGCAATCTGGATACTTCCACCTCTCAGTCAGCAAGAGCTCATTTCTTTTTTTTTTTTTTTTTTTAATAAGATGCCAGCACTAGCAAGAGCTCATTTCTGTTTGTCACTGTTATCCTGTCCTCCAAACTCGGGTCTCAGAACAAGAGAACAGCAGCAAAAGTCTTTTACAAAAAGTATAATAAAGCTGGCCGGTTAGCTCAGTTGGTTAGAACATGGCCTTGTAATGTCAAGGGTTTGGTTCCCCGTGCTGACCACCAGCTGCCAAAAAAAAAAAAAAGAAAGTGTAGTAGTCTCTAAATGTGATCACTGGGTAAAAGGGGCCACATTTAGTCAAACTTGAAACATGAGTGTAGGAATGGAGGATTAGATTTCAGCGTGTGCAACAGGGAGGGGATGATCTCAGCCGTGGGTTGGGAGAAAAAGGAAAGGATGCCCTGGGGTGATAACTCAGTTTCCCCTAAGCACATAGGCCAGGCTAGCCCTGCGGCCTGTGGAGGCTGCCCATGCTATTTAGATGGGTTATAATTCCCACCCTTAGACTCAGTGATCAATATCATGGGCTTTAGGGTCTGAACCGGGTTTGAGACTTAAATCCACCACTTCCTGCCTGGTCAACTTTGACCAGTTATGTATCCCTCTATGCTTTGGTTTCCTTATCTGTAAAATGCAGACAATAATACCTACTACATAAGACCGTGGCAAGGATTTAAATTTAGCAAGGTAATGCATGTAAAATGCTTAGCACATTGTCTGGCATAGAAGTGTTTGATAATTGGGAGCAGTTATTATTAACTTGATCATCCAAGGCACACTACCCATAGCACACTCAGTTCATACTTGTTAAAAAAATAAACTTAAGGGGCCGGCCCGTGGCTCACTCGGGAGAGTGTGGTGCTGATAACACCAAGGCCGCGGGTTCGGATCCCATATAGGGATGGCCGGTTGCTCACTTTGGTGAGCGTGGTGCTGACAACACCAATCCAAGGGTTAAGATCCCCCTTACCGGTCATCTTTTAATAAAAAAATAAATAAATAAACTTAAAACCTAAAGGATGTACATGTGTGTATCATCCTTTGCAAGTTAGTTATGGTGAGAACCAAGATGAAGAAAATGAAAGTAAATTAATAAATAGTCCTAAGAATCCACTTAGATAAGATTTAAACTTTACATAATGCTATGTTTTATTCAGACTAACTTGCCTTTGGAGTTGGTTAGAAACCAAAAGCCATGGCAAGGAACTGGCTAGGCCGGATGTATATGGCCTCCTTGTAGAACCTACCTACTTGCTCCTTTGCTCAGAGAGCAGTTTTTGTGCATAGGAGGTCCCTCTCGGCCTTTCTTCCTTTCCTTGAGGAGCAGAGCCACCATGGGAGAGGCAGAAACACCTTGTCTGTCCCTCTAGAGCTAGCTTGGGAACGATTAGCGCAGGTCTATCCCACAGTGGGGCACCTTCCGAGTCAGGTTGCCCTTAAATTAATCTCTGGATACTTCTGCACAGACTCTTGGTATTCTCTTTTGTTCTGCTGTCATTACTAAAGCCCTTGTGATATCTCATTAGTCCTTTCTTTTCCGGCTACCGAAACATAACGTACAAAGCTTTATCCTTTCCCAGACACATAGAAACTGGCATCTACACACCCATGTGGATCTCTAGCATTGTGTTACTCGTGTCTTTTATGACTGAGGGGAATACTGCATTTATATTGGGTGTGTTACATGGTCAGCATCACCTTCAACAAGCTTCAACTTGAAGATCCAGACGTTTTCATCTAAGACTTAGTTTGTCACTATTAACAGGTGCTTGTACTGTTCGGCAGAGCAGTAAACATTTTCCCACTTTCCTACCTCCTGAATTTCTTCCGGGATCATAAAATCACACCGAAGATGATGTTCATCATGTGGTTTAGTGGTAAGTCAAATCTCGAATAAACAGTTGGAGGGAAAATATGTTATAAAGGCACACATGCAAAGAGAACATGTGGTTATTTGCTAGAACCCTTTGAAAATGAACTTGCCTCATAAGCTAAAAATATAAAAACTCCCATTTAATGGGCACCTACTGTAATCCAGGCCCAGGGCAAAGGTCCTAACAGATGGTACCCCTCACCACAGTGCTGTGAAGGAGGTGGTACATGCCTGCTGTACAGATGAAGAAGCTCAGGTTCAGGAGGGCAGAGGACATGCTTAGGATCACGTGGCCACTGGAGGCAGTGCAGCACGAGGTTCGGCTCTCACCTGTGTGTTTTCTATGCTGAAGTAATTAATGGGCTCATAATAACAAAGGTGAAATTTGAAACTTTTGTACTACAGGCTGTTTTTGGATATTTCTACCCTTCAGTCACAAAGCTATGATAGTTTAATTTGAATGTTTCAGTGCTGTTCAATCACATTTCTCTACTTTCTCAAGGATGGAAATGATTTCATAAACCTTTGGCTCCTAAAGAACTGAATCCTTAGGCATCTTTAAATTTATTTTTGGGCAGTACATACAGTTTTTTATGCTTTCTCGTTTAAATATTATAATTAAAATATTTCCACATGGGTAGAGATGTATCAACATGCTTCATAATGTTCTCTGTGTGACAGCGTATCTATAAGTTTGTTTCAGACTTCTCTTCTTTCAAAAGGTCTTCTTTAAAAAAGAAGCATATGTGTGTATATATATGCGTATATTTATATATAGTGAGAGAAACTCATTTTTCTCTTAATCATTTTTGCCAATGAGAGAAAAAACTACTCTGTAAAGTAGTGATCCAAGGTCTTAAAAATCTCAAAGAGACCCTAAGAAATGTAGCAGGTGTTTTATAAAGTTACGTGAGCTGTTTGGGAGAGGAGGCATGATGACAGGGACCTCTGTGGAGGATGGGGGATTGTTGGCTTCCGTTCTCTCCCAGGCCATCTGGGCCCTCCCTCCGTGCATTTCTGTCTGTCTTTCCTGGATCCTCGGCCTCCATCTCTGCTAGCTCCTCCCATCATCATTTAAACAGTCAAAGATTCTCCTCTTTCCTAGCAAAACACCAACAACTTCCACCAAAACCCCTGCCACACATCCCCTCCAGAGCTTCTGCGTCTCTGTCGGTCATGGCCAGACCTCTCTGAGCAGGTTGCGCTCCACTTGTTCTCACTCACCTCCCACCGACCTGGCCTTGCCCAGGTCACCAACGACCTCCTGCAGCCAAACCTGGTGGAACTGGTCAGTCATTGTCCTTGCCCACCTGCTTGGAGCCCCCTTCCCGCCACACTCCCTTGCCTGCACCCTGCACCCCCTCTTCACTGGCCTCCAGGCCCCACTCCTGGTTTCCTTTCTTTCCCTTTGTCATCTCCTCAGGCTCCCACTGTCCCCTTCCCCTCCTCTGCTGACCCCTCTGATAGTGGCTTCCTCAGGTCTTGCCCTCTGACCCACTTCTGTTCTGGGTTGGCCACTTCCCTTTCACTGAGCAGTCTCCCGGCCTCAACTTCCATCAAGTTCCCTTCACTCTAAAGCTGTTCCCTCTGACCCAGACCCTCCTCTGGGACCCAGACTCCTACTTCTGACTGTCCACTTGGATATCGTGGAGATGTTGCCATCCCATTGTCTAGGACTGAACTCCCTGCCCAACTGGCCTCTTTGCTAACATGCTCCTTCCACAGAAATAAGAAAATAGGTATGAAATGTAGGCGTGGCAGCCAGTGCTAAGCATTTGCTGGGTGCACACCTTGTTCTAAGCACATTACACATGCCATACCACTTAATCCTCCAGCCCCTGTGACAGGTTTAGAGAGGCTGACTTGTCACTTAGCACCCCCCATGTCTCCAAATTCCACCCCTTTCCCTCTTTCTCCACTGTCCCCCATCTCAGGTCTGGACCACTGCAGCAGCCTAACTGTCCCAGCCCCATTGTGATGAGGGGCTTCAGGTCTGGCCCAGGTCCTTTTTCTGTCTGCACTGCCCCTGCCCCACTCTTTCCTTTCTGGTGCCTCTCATAAGTCCTGTTTGCTGTCTGTCCTCCCAACCGCTCTGAGAACTCCCCTGGTGCAGGGCCAGGACAGCCCATTCCCCTCCATTTGGTGCCAGAAAAGCCAGGAAATTTCTTTTTTTTTTTTTTTTTAAAGATGACCGGTAAGGGGATCTCAACCCTTGGCTTGGTGTTGTCAGCACCACGCTCAGCCAGTGAGCAAACCGGCCATCCCTATATAGGATCCGAACCCGTGGCCTTGGTGTTATCAACACCACACTCTCCCGAGTGAGCCACGGGCCGGCCCAAAGCCAGGAAATTTCGGACAGAGGAAAGTGTTGTCTCCGAGTTCCATCCTTGCCCCTGGGTTGTATTACAGCAGCCTCGCAGGGGACCAGCAGAGCAACCCAAAGCCCCCATCAGTACTGCCAGGGGGCTACATGGGGGCAGCACCTTTGGATACAAGGGGCCCTGGGCAGACTGCGTCTCATGCCGTTGCCAGTGTTGGCTGTGTGGCCCTCACCTGTTTGCAGTGGGGAAGGCTACACCTGCTTCGCAGGTTTTCCTGGGAAGCTCCAGTGATCCTGTGCATGCAGCACACCTAGCACAGGGCCTGATGCTCATCAGGGGGCTCCACCCACAGCGGCTGTCAGGTGATTTCTAAAACACGAGTGGCAGGCCGGATGGATCCTCATACACACGCACCTGGCGCCTCACAGCCAGGACGGGCCATCCTGTGAAAGGCATGGAGGTGAGCCTTGCCTGGTGTCCACATCTCAGCCTGCTCTTCTCACACCCCAGAGGCTCAGAGTGACTGAGAATTCTCCAGTGGGCCCTGCCCAGACCCCCAGAGAACCCGGTAGTGAAGCCGCCGCCTCCCGGCTCCCTCCTTACTCTCTCACTGTCCCCAGGCCTGCGGGGGGCCATCCCCTATGCCCTGAGTCTGCACCTGGACCTGGAGCCCATGGAGAAGCGGCAGCTCATTGGCACCACCACCATCATCATCGTGCTCTTCACCATCCTGCTGCTGGGTGGCAGCACCATGCCTCTCATCCGCTTCATGGACATCGAGGATGCCAAGGCGCGCCGCAGGAACAAGAAGGACGTCAACCTCAGCAAGACGGAGAAGATGGTGAGAGCCATGGCAACGGGGGTGGGGGCGGAGGGCTGCTGCCAGGAGCAGGGAGGGAGGCGTGTTCTGAAGGTGCCTGGTGGCTCCACATGCGCTAGTTGCCCAGCCCGAGAAGGAGCTGGAGTTCTGAAGCCTGACTCTGTGGGGGAGGGGCATCTGCCAGCCTTGAACCCTGCTGATGCCACGGGGGCATGGGCTGGCACTGGCTGCTTCCTTCTGCAGCTTTGTGCAGCTACAGAAGCTTGGGCCTGTCATGCTGTCCCAGCAGTGCGCCTCTCCAGCTGCTAGCTGAGCCCTGCATCAGGGCCCAGACTGGAAGGTTTCAAAACCATGTCCTTCCCCAACATTTACTGGAAACTTCCTGTTGGGGCCCTGAGGAGGGGAGGGTGGCTTGCAGTGGCTGTGAGGGCCATGAGAGGTGCCCTCCCCTGAGGACAGGGGAGGGCATGATTTGGGGCTGGAGGTGCCCAGAGCCCAGTGGAGTCTCCTGTGCCCACCTCTGCTACCTGCAAGGCCCCTTCTGCCTGGTAGCTGCCCTGCCACCAGGTTGCCCACCCATGTGCCTTCCTTGCCCTGTCTTCACCCTCAGGCCCCACGTGCTGAGCCGGGCTCTCTGACGAAGTGGAGGCTGCTCTGGGCTTTCATTCCACCTTCCTGCATCCACCTGTGCATCCCCACCCCCATTTCTGGAAATGCATCTTTTCTAGTTCCCTTATTTGAGACTTTAATCATTCATTGGAGGCACAGAGATCCTCATGTGGTCCACCTCTAATGTCAGAGTGTCAGGGCTGGGTGGACCTTGGTCTCCAGTTTCTATACTGGGCCCCTCAGCCAGTGCAGTGCTGCTGGGAGGAAACTTCCAGGTGACCTTCAGGCCTGGGCTCTGCAGGACTTTTCACTCTTGGCAGCCCTTCTCCCCCTGCTCCCTATCTACTAACTCTCTTGTTTGTTTTTAACAAAAGCTCTGGTACTGGCTCTCAGACCTTCAGGTGGATATCAAACAGGGGGAGGGCTCATCACACACACAGGCACTGTTCTATGGTATGGACACGATGAATGTGTTTGCCTTCCATTATCTCAGATTGTCCTGATAACCTGCAGGAAGCAGATGCTTTCCTCATACCCATTTTGCATATGAGAATGCTGAGACACAGACTTCAAATCACACAGCTGAGGTCACACAGACTCTAGAGCCTGAGCTCTTAATCACCACACTCTACATCAGTGGTCCTCAATTGGGGTCCCAGGGCCACCAGCATCACTGGGAACTTGTTAGATATGCAAGTTTTTGGACTCCACCCCAGAACTACTGAATCAGAAACGCTGCAGGTGGGTCTGGTGGGCCCGGTATCTTGTTGTTTCACAAGCCCTCCAAGTGATTCCAATGCAGGCCACAGCATCCCTTCCCCTCCATTCTCTCCCACTGCCTATACCTGCACCTCTTGCCCAGGCTTCCAGGTGGAGGCCCAGTGGACTGTGACAGAGCACACTTTACTGTCCCTCCCTGGAAGTTCCTCTAGCAGAGCAGTAGATGCACTCTGCCTTCAAATCCTGTTCATCTTTGCTCGTCCCTGCAGAGGGTGGGGTTGCTTGGAGTGTGGGGCTAGACAGCATGGATCCGCTGTGAACCTGAGACCTAACTCTTCTCCTGCAGCCCTCCCCCTCCACAAGGCGTCCTTTTCTTTATCCCTCTGCAGTCCCTCCCAGGATTTGTTCCCTCTCGCCTTCCCTATAGTGACTTGATTGGCAAAAGCCAGCCCAAAATGGAGCCATATTTAGTGGAGCTGCAGCCAAAAAGTGACAAAAGGAACCCCTTTGTTCAATTTGCTGGTAATGAAATAGCCTAGGACGGCGGGGCCCAGTGCTGGCTGCATGAAAGAATCATCTGGAGAGCTTCAAAACCAAGCTTAGCCCTGTCCCAGAGCTTCTGATGTAGCTGTCATGGCCGGCTTAGCCAGACATCCATCATGTCCTTGCAGACCTTCCTGCCTCCCTGCGGGCTCCCGGGAGGCCGTTTGCTGCCCACAGTGACTCCGCCCTGACTGTGAAGTACAGTTAGGATTGGAGACACTGGCGGCCATGGGTGAAGGGCTGCTAGGTGGCCTGGGTAGTGTGGGGGCTTCCAGGAAGATGCCAGGCTGGTGGTGCCTTCCCTCCTTCAGGGCAACACCATCGAGTCAGAGCACTTGTCAGAGCTCACCGAGGAGGAGTATGAAGCCCACTACATCAGGCGGCAGGATCTCAAAGGCTTCATGTGGTTGGATGCCAAGTACCTGAACCCCTTCTTCACGCGGAGGCTGACTCAGGAGGTGAGATCCGGGCCAACGCCCTTCCCTTCCTCCCTCCCCTCAGGACCTGCAGGGGTGGGGGTGGGGAGGCACGCGTGGGCCGCTAGGCTGCCTGCTCCCACTGGGGCTGGATGTGCTGTGGGCTCGGCATCTGCTGTTTTTTTCCTCACAGCCGTATTTAGTGCTAGTGTAATAATAGAGTTGTTAACACAGTTTGGTTTTCTTGGATGATGGACTCTGGACATCGATCAGCTACTGACTCTGAGCTGAGGAATTTCAGACACGCCAGGCCTTAGGCAGTGGCCAGAGGCTCAGGGCTCAGGTTCCTGTTCCACCCCTCTGAGCACTGCGGACCTCCACGCAGAGGCAGGCCTTGCAGTGGGGGTCGGGCTCTTCCGCGCTGCCCCACTTTGTTTCTGAGCCCCATTTGCTGCCTCAGGCAGTCACGATAGCTGTGAGTGTGTGAGCTCTTACGTGGAGCCGGGCTCTGTACCAGACTTCTTGCTGCTTCCTTCATTCTACAGCAACCCATGCAATGGACACAGCTGTCCTCTCACTTGACAGCAGGGAGACAGGCCCAGGGAGGTGAAGTTACCCCCAACAAGGTCACACAGCCAGTATGTGGCAAAGCGGGGAACAGCTTTTTATTTTTTATTTTTCATTTTGTAGGCTGGGGAATAAATGAATAGAGTAAGATTTTCTTTTCAATCATTTTCCCCAACCAGTTTCAGCATTGCAAAGTTTAACTAACAGAGAAGGGTGAACTCAACACTGTGAATAGCAGCTTTTTAACATCATGCCATCCTCCTTCCTCCTTCCTCCTCCTCCTCCTCCCACCTGTTGTCTCCACCCCCCACAAAGAAAATCCCAACTGGAGTTGACACTGAAATTGCCAGTGGCCATTCACCTTGCCTCCCATTTCCTCCCAACATACCCCACATGAGGTACAAAGCAAGTACAAAGATGGCCCTGGCCCTGGCCCTGGCCCTGGCCCTGGCCCTGGCCCTGACCCTGACCCTGACTCCGATCCCGATCCCTGATGAAGGCTTGGTTGTGTCTCTTGCCCCAGGACCTCCACCACGGGCGCATCCAGATGAAGACCCTCACCAACAAGTGGTATGAGGAGGTGCGCCAGGGCCCTTCCGGCTCTGAGGATGACGAGCAGGAGCTGCTGTGACAGAACAGGGTGCCGCTGTGGCTTCTGGACAGGCAGGGCATTTGCTGCCCACACATATCCAGCAAGGGCCTCCAGAGGTGTTTGCATTTGGCAGCCTGTTCAGAGAAAGTAGGGTGTAGTCAGGGCTGCCGAGTCTTCTTAACCCGGAACTTTCCAGGTCTTTGGAGCCAGATGGCTGCTTCTGAAACATCTCTCCACTCCTCACAGAGCAGGACCTCTGCTCTCTGTTACTTCTTGGCCCACAGATGGGAGTGAGCACCTGTCCCAGGCAACACTTCCCTCAGCTTCTGCAGCCAGGTGAGCAGAGCAGTCATCTGTCCAGCTGGGGTGCCCACCTGAGGGCAGTGCTTGTTTGCAGTTTGTGCCCTTCCCAAGCCACCACCTTGGTCACAACCCCCTGCTGGAATGGGGTCTGTCCCTGCAGAGCGAGTAGCCAGCTGCCATTATTTGCCTTTGAGTCATCAAGGTGCCTGGGGCCTCAGCAGCAGCAATTCTGACCTAAATGACAGGGCCCAGAAATCCTGAAAACCTCACACTCCCCTTTGTGATGTTCCCTGCACTCCCAGAGAAAGAAAAACCGATTCACCTTTTTTCTTTATCTCCGACTGGTACCTCGCAGCCATCTCCCCAGGCAGGTGGCAGGCAGCTGCTGCCCTTCTCTGGGCATACTGCGAATGTTTACACTGGTACTGGTCTCCAGATCCCCACTGGAACCTGGATTTTTTTGGGGGGGTGTTGGGGGTAGCAAGCCTGTTCTGTGTGGGGTCAGAGCACCCCCTAGAGGGAAAACCTAGAGATACAGGGTTTCTACGGGCCAGCAACTGCTATCTTGATTCAGTTTAAATTCATGCACTTTTACAAAGTAGTGAGAGCATAGTAATAACCCCTGATCTCCCTCACCAGGATTCCCCTATTGGTTGTTCTTGTTTGTCCAATCAGAGGCCCCTTTTCCTAGGCTCTGTAGTGTCTGCTGTCCATTTACATGCTGCCACTATCACTGCTAATTAGGGTTCTATCCTCTTTCCCCTCTCCTAGTTCCCCACCATGTTGGGTCCCATTTGACCCCCATGCCAGGGTCCCAGCTCCCCAAAGCAGTAGAGCAGGGGCCAGACCAGCAGTGCCCAGTGCTGCTCCCTTCCCACCCCCCAACCCTCCCCCACCTGGTACTCCAGTGATCTGGAGTCACATGCATACAAAACCCACACCCTGGCACCCATCCAATGGTCCTGGCCTCCCCGACTATCTCAGGGTGAGAAACTGCCAGTCACGTCCAGATGAAATGGAGGTACTGACTTGCATCCTGTCCTCACTGCCCTCTCACAAGCCCTGTAATTGCTTGACTTTGCCCATCTATGGGCTGTTGACACCCCATAATTTAAGCCATTACCTTGCATAATTTTGGTCTCCACCATTTCCTTTTAGTGGCAAAGTAAGAGAAGAGGTCAAAGAGGGTGGGGACCTTTGCCCACACCTGGGCCGTAGGGACAGGGATCTGCAACCTGATTATTCTCACACTCCAGCTCGGAACTGATTTACTCTGCAAACTCAATAGCTTGCCAGGATTTCTTTCTTTTTTAATCTTAAATTCACAGATCAAGCAATAGAGTCAGGATCTTAGTTCAGACCCCCTCATCTCTAGGTCTGATGCCCCAGCCACATCATGCCTGGCCTCCCACTTTTAGTTGAGACCTGAAAACACCCTGTAGTAGAAGAGCACATGGGGGGCTTGATGGAAGGGCCCCAAGGTTTTGCTGGGGGTCAGGGGATGGGTACCTTTCCTGGAAGGTACCAGCCTGGATCTCCTATGAACTGCCTATGCCCCCTGCTGGCTGAGGGAGGACTTAGCAACCTGGGATAGCGCTCCCATGAATGAGGGTTGGCCAATACTCCTGCACCCTCTCAGTTCACCTTAGTCATATGCTAAAGGCATATGGGGTATAGTTTCCTGGTGGATTTTTTTCAAATCTGAGAATCAGAAATTGCTACTACCTTTAGCATACCTAATCTATTATTTGGGGGTCTGGCCAGTTAGCGTAGTTGGTTGGAGCATGTCCTTGTAACACCAAGGTCAAGGGTTCAAGGGTTCAGATCCCATTACTGGCCAGCTGCCAAAAAAAAATGCCCTAATAATTCTATTTGGGGCAGTAAGTGCATACAAGATATAAAAATATCCAGTTTAACTGGACCGTTCTGCGTATTTATTTTCCTTTAGGTCTAGGCCATGGGACAGGAAAGTTATAGCATGTAGGAGGTTATACTTTAGTGTACTGAAGGCTGGAAAGTCAGTGAGTACCTTTGGGGAAGCTGGCCAGTGGACCTGGAAATGTGCAGCAGCAGGCCCCACACCTTGAGGCTCCCTTGGCAGCCTCTCCACAGCAGGCTCTGTGATTTTTGAACCACTTTTTGGAATAAATTGCATGCTTTCTGTAACCCTGTGGTTGTAGGACCCCTCAGAACAGCCACACCCTGTGACTTGGGGTGTCAGGTCTTACAGGGAAAGGAGCTGACTTTGGTTCCCAGATAAGTTTGCCGTGGGCTAGGCCAGGGCCAGGCTGAAGGTGGCTCAGTTCCATCATCAGGTGCTCAGATGCTCAGACCAGGGGCAAAACTAAAGCCCTCCCTCCACCACCCCAAGCCAGCTGCCTCTTTTCACAGTGGGAATGCTGCCTGGAGCCAAGGGGCAGGGCCTGGCCCAGAATGCTGGCAGCCCAAGTTAGCCCAGAGAGGCACCGATTTGCCCGCAGGTTCCTTTGTGTGTGATGGATTGCTGAAAGATTGGTGAGTGGGGAGCTTTCTTAAAATCCTCACTGAAGGGCCGGCCTGGTGGCGCACTGGAGAGTGCGCCACTTGGGAGCGCGGCGGCACTCCTGCCGAGGGTTCGGATCCCATGTGGAGACCGGTTCCCGCTCACTGGCTGAGCGTGGTGCGGGCACAACACCGAGGGTTGCGATCCCGTTGCCGGTCCCTGGTACAGGCGTGACACCAAGGGTTGCGATCCCATTACCAGTCAGTAAAAAAGACAAAAAGGAAAAAAAAAATCCTCACTGAAGGTGCCATCAGCAAGACTCGGTCTCATGAAGTCTCAGCTCCACATTCCCAGAGGGGCCCCCATGCTTGGTAGAGTCCTCAGTACCCTACTTCTGCTTTGGAGGTGGCAGGCTGGGGGCTGACAAAGGTGCAGGTGTGGCCTGGGGTGGCCTCTGACTTAGAACTGCTCCCTGATTTCAGTGTGAGGACAAATTTCTCAGCAGCAGTTACCTGCCATTGGTTAGGATTTTAGATGCAAAAAAGAGAAATGTTCCCCTTCCCTCTTCCCCATTCCCTCCAAAATGCCGGCATGTGTTTCCCCTGCTGGTCAGTGGGTAGGAAACCAGATCTGCACTGTTCCTGATATAGCAGCCAGAACCATTAAGGACATGTTCTACCAGGAAGCTAGTCTCCAGAGTTTGGACAATATATTTTGGATAAAAACACCACAATAAAGTCTCCACAAGGTCAAGGGTTCGAACCCCCATACCGGCTAGATAGCTGCCAGAAAAAGTAAAGCCTCCCAGAGAATAAGAACCTGCACTCCCTGCTTTTTAGGCTCCTGCCGTTTCTGAAATGAATGCAGTTAGATATTCAGGGTCTCCATTGTCATTGGCCACGTAATGAAGGAAGGCGGTTTTTCTAATATCCCCAGCCCCACCCCTATCCCCCCGTCCCACACCATTTTTTACTCCTTCCCACCCCAGTGACACAATCCTGGGGGGTGGGGAAAACTTTGGCCTTTCTTACCCATGAGTTGATCTTCTCCCTGGCTGTGGCCATGTGATTGGATTGGAAAATGCACCTTGGTGGCCACAGGAGCAAGGTCACCTGTCAGCCCTGTGGGCCCCTAGCCCAGCCCTGCTTGAAGGAGGCCCCCCCAGGGGATGGGGAGGGTCCCTTACTCCTCACTGGACAGTTGGGGTGTCTGTGTGGGTTATGCCAGTGCATGGCTCCTGCAAAACTTCGTTTGTTCTCAAGGTTAATCAGAATCTTACATTCTTTTTCGTCATTTTATTTGTAAAAATGAAGGATTTTTTAAAGTATTGGTTTTTTTTGTTTTAAAGGAAGTTGGGCTTACTCTTTCATCTCCCCCAAGTGAGCTGTGAAAGGCTTGTGAGTTCCTGGCTCCTGGGAAATGACTGGCTGCCCTTCTGGATGGAGCTTTGGACCAGGGAGGGGAGGGAGGGTCAGAGACGGGGGACCCATGGCTGCTATGCTGGAGCCCCTGCTTTATCTTGTTTCTGAGGCCCCTGCTTCATCTCACTGTACTCTTTAAAGGGTTAAAAAATGGATGGAAAAGTCATGTCACTGGATACTTATTTTAGGAATAAAAATGAATGCTGCTGAATGAGAGTTGGCTTCTGTGTTCACATTCACGTGGTTCCAAATGCACAGATCAAGCACTCTTAGGCTCGGCTTTGTGTCACACACCTAACCAGCCTCTCTGGGCTAGCAGCAGACATGTTGCTGTGAAGCACCATGGTTAGAAGTGTGCACTTTGGCTTGGGCAGGCCTGGGTCCTGTTCCTGCCTCTGGCCTTCAGCAAGGAGCACGTGAGGCCTCAGCCAGCCTGCAACTTTTCCTCACTGGTGCTAGGAGCCTATCTTCCCTGGCACTTGCTAGTTCTGTCCTCCCAGGCCTGTGGGCAGGGCCACCTGGTCTCCCGCCACCTGGGATTGCTGATCAGCCCCTGGTGGGCCTTTGCCAGAAGGTAAAAGTTGAAACTTCTTCCGTTAAACCCGCACTGTTGTAGGAGCTGGGGCCTGTTCACACCCTCTGATAGAAGGTGGTGGCACTATGTGTGGGAAGTCTGGGGCATTAGTTCATTCATACCCCCAGGTACTTCCAGAAGGCATCTGAAGCTGTTATGGTAGCAGGCACAAACAAAATGCATGTAATAAAACGAAAACAGGTAGAACCTGTTTTGGCCCTAGTTCCCTCCAACCCTGCATTCATCCCATCCCCTGGGGAGGCTCAGGAGGCCTCAGCAGGCTTCCCTTTGCCCACTTTTGCTGAAGACCTGAGTTCTAAGAAATATTTCTCTACCATAATAAAAATTGCAAGTGTGATGTCAGGTGGTAACCTGACACTTGGCCTCAGTGTCAGAGAAACACCACCAGAGGGGTGGGGACAATGGTAAGTAAAAAGCAGGGTTTTCCCAGGACACCTCCAAGGGAGGCTGGGAATGGAGTGTTGCTGAGCAGTGTCAGCCTGAGTAACATGGAGTCGGGAGGGGGACAGATCTTGGGCAGGCACCTCATTCCCACTGAGGGAACTGGGTATTTTTATTCACATTTCAACCTTCTCAACTGCTATAAAAAGCTCTCAGGGGGCCGAGCCCGTGGCGCACTTGGAGAGTGCGGCGCTGGGAGCAAAGCGACGCTCCCGCTGCGGGTTCGGATCCTATATAGGAATGGCCGGTGCACTCACTGGCTGAGCGCGGTGTGGGCGACACCACACCAAGGGTTGCGATCCCCTTACCGGTCACAAAAAAGACAAAAAAAAAAAAGCTCTCAGGGTAGAGAGAAGTAGTATTTTCCTCAGAGGCCAGAAAGCTCAGGAGAGGGGAGGGTCACACACCCCCACTCATTCCACTGGGAGCCAAGGGGAGATGAAGCTGGCCTGGGGAGTGGGCCCCATTACCTCTGGAAGGCAGCCCCTTCCCCCAAGAGACAGCATGGCTCTGTGCTCCTGGCCTAGAGAAGATCCAGGAGACAAAGGACTGGGGTCAGAGAGCCAGTGCAGTCATCTCAGGGAGCTGGCCAACCAGATGTGCCCATAAGTGGAGGTTCTTGGGCTGGTCAGTTAGCTTAGTTGATTAGAACGTGGTGTTGATAGCACCGAAGTCAAGGTTCAGATCCCTGTACTGGCCAGTCACCCAAAACATAAAAAATAAATTGCCATAATTTTTTCACAAAGTGGGGTCCTCTTTGTGGATACTTATGGACCTGCAGGAGAGCAGGCAGGTGCAAGCCACACACTCACTGCTTAGTGAGGATGCCTGGCAAACCTGGGGGGTTTAGCATCAGCTGGCGGTAGCCTGGTCCTAGGAAGAGAGGGACCAAGGGCCCTCTGTGCACGCAGGCAGCTCTAGGCTGATACCCTCATGCACATGGGGAAGAAAATAGGTCTTTGCTTACCAAAAGAAAAGTCTACAAAAATGCGATTATTTTGTGGCAAAGACGAGCCCTACACTCATCATATCTGCTGGTGGGAGGGCCAGCTGGTTCAAACTTTCCAGAGGCCATAGTAACACCTATCAAAGCCTGAATGAAAATGTCCCAGCAATTCCATTCATAGGACAAAATGGAAGTGCACAAAAATTTGGCTCCAAGGATGGTCATCCTGGCAATATCTGTAATGGGGAAAAATTGGAAACAAACTCTGTCTCCATTGATAGGGGATTGGTGAGATGATAGAATATTTGCCAACAATTAAAGATTTAAGGACATGGAAAGATGTTCAGAATATTAGGCCAGCATCTTGTCACTTTTAGAGAGACATAAAAATTTCACCTTCTCAATTGCTTCTCGGCCTTTTGGCTAAGATCAAGTGTAATATCTGTTCTTATCAGTTTAAAAATTTCACCTTCTCCTTCAATGTTTGAGATTTCAAAATGACTAAAACTGAGTTAAAGGAGTAGAAAAGTTAGAACATGCTTTTAAAAATACACATACTACTACTCAAACACACACCCATTAATCCCTAATGTGACAAACCTGTTGATTCCCCTAATCACCATTTCCTCCCTGTGCCCTGTCAAAGAGAACCCATGGTTATCCATGTAATGGGTGACCATATGCTTCGAGGGGAAGCTGGTCCCATTCCCAGAGATTTGCCTAAGACTGGCTGAGGAATGGGCCTATAACCCAATTCAGCAGGAGAATGAAGCAATATCTTGGGGAATTTCTAGAACTCTTTCTTCGCTCTCAAAAAGACACTCAAGAGTTGGCTGGTTAGTTCAGTTAGTTATAGCACGGTGTTGATAACACAAAGGTTAAGGGTTCGGATACCCATACCAGTTATCTGCAAAAACAGAAACAAAAAAGAGCACTAGGGAACCAAGTAAGAGTTCAAATTGATGTAATCACCTTGAAGAGTATCAGCCAAAGCCTAGTAAAATGAAAAACACCTGCCATCCTTCAACCCAGCAATTCCTCTCCTAGGTTTAGGCCTTAGAGCAAGAAATAGCAAATTACTGCCGGTGGCCCAAATCCAGCCTGCCTCCTGTTTTTGTACTACCCACAAAATAAGAATGCTTTTCATATTTTCAAATGGCTGAAAAAAGTCAAAAGAATATTTCATGACATATGAGAATTATATGTAATTCACATTTCAATGTGTATAAATAAGGTTTTGAATTCTGTCAATAAAACATTTATGGAGGGCCGAGCCCGTGGTGCACTCGGGAGAGTGCGGCACTGGGAGCGCAGCAGCGCTCCCGCTGCGGGTTCGGATCCTATATAGAGATGGCCAGTGCGCTCACTGGCTGAGTGCAGTGCGGCTGGTATCAAAAAAAAAAAAAAAAAAAAAAAAAATTTATGGAAATTTGTGTTCTCTATTGATGTATAAGTACCTACATAATATCCTTGATTTTGCATCTTGGCTCACAAAAAGTATTCACTATCTGGCCATTTACAGAAAACATTCAGCCACCCCTGCCCTAGAGAAATTCTCATGGACACACTCATGCACGAGGAGACACCTACAAGAATATTTGTAGTAGCAAAATATTAGAAACAAGCAAATGTTTTTCACTAGGAACGTGGGTAAACTGTGGCACAGTAATGCAATGGAACACTATACAG